ACAAGCAGAACAAGCAGAACAAGTCGACGACAGTAGTTAGGTAGGTGGGTGGTGCAAAAGAAGCTCTCCCAGCTGGGTTTGAACCAGCGACCTTGAGGTTAACAGCCGCACGCTCTACCAACTGAGCTATAGGAGAACCGTCGTATAGCAAAGCCTAGAGCTTCTTCTTTTTCAGGATTTTCCAGGTCACAGCTAGTTGTTGATAATGTTTGTCTCTCCTTTGATATCGGGCCTGTTGGGTCAAAGTGCCCTTGCTGTCTCCACCCACAATGTTCAAATATTCTTGACATATTGAATCCTTCAAATCTCTGGAACGTCTCCACAGCGAAAGCAAGGATGTCACGACCGCTTGATTCAATGTAGTGACGCTGGAACATTTTCTTGATGCACCCGAACATAAATTCTATCGGGTTGAAAAATTGGCATTATGCCGGAAGAAATAGTGGCACAACACCCAACACTTCTTAAGAAGTGTACGATCTCCGGGTACCTGTGGATGGATGCAGCATCTAGAATCCAGACAAAACTCGACCCTGGATACTGACGACTCCACTTTTGTAGAGTAAACAAAATCTTTGCAGGCAGCACTCCACGAAACGAAAATCTATCAAATGTACCTTCAGTATCGTAGACGTTCAGCAGTCCACTCACACAAATGAAAGCTAACATCGCCACCCTCGGCTTGCGGTGAAAATCCCCCCTATTAGCGATGCCCCTTTAAGTGGGTATCCTCTCTTCCTAATCATACCTCGGTTATCGAATGAAACCTCATTGAGGAAAACGAGGTTGTTGTGACTCCAGTCAATGAAGCTTAGCTCCTCCACGAACCGAAATACGTCGCGCTCTTTATGTGCCAAGCACGCCTCTCTATAACTCTTCGCGTAAGCCCACCGTCGTGGATGATCCGCCACACTGAAGACTTCGAAATAGTGATGCTGTCTGCGCGCTGGAAAGCATCCTGTGCTTCATCCAGATAGACTAGTGGTTGGCTAAAAAAAGCACACAGGCATTGCCTGTGTGCGAGGGTAAACTTGTTGGTGGCTGATGTTTGTACCCGCTCAAATGTCCCTGTTTGCTCGTTTGTATGAATCCAGTTGCCGATAGTCTGTACGGTTTTGTTGTACTGTACAACTTGTACACATGGGAAGTGTATCCCAGACAATAAAATCCGTATAGACAATGGATCACTGTGTTTGGATGTGCGTGCTGCTTTGTGACCACTTCCTCCATAATGTTGCCACTTCCAAGACAGGGTAGTTGGTGTCGATCACGAGGTCGAAAGACGCTGTTCGCTTAATATCTTTATGGATATGGTGAGGGAGTAGTCTAGTACTTAGCTTACCTTGGTCGGAGTCTGAAGCTAGGCTGAATGTTGTTCTTAGGGAAAGGGTTAATGATTTTATCCAATCACGCGAACCTGTTGATTTGTTGCTCAACTACACCAGTCTGAAAATTTTGGCCAGAATTCACAATATTTATCACTTAGCGTCTCTTCGTGCCGCTTTTGACAAAATGCGTCTGGGGCGCTACCTGCTATACTTGATTCTGCTGATACTTGCTGGATATCATTCCATCGTTCATGCAGCTGATGCCACAGTATCTTCCTCATGGAGAAACTCGACGGTGGGTGCTGCGGCGGTATTGGACCTTGTGCTCACGACGGGGGACGATCCTCTGCTCCCAGCGGATGCACTGCTCGAAATTCGCGTCGGCTCGCAGTTTACCGTTGCGTCTGACGCTAGCGTGGACGATGCAGTGCTGAGAGAGACATTGGACGGCACTTGGAGTGTCACGGTGGACACAAATGCGAATAAGCTGACCGTGCAGCGCAGTGGAACTGGAACGGAAGTGACTTCCGGTACCCAGCTACGATTCAAATTGACGGGTATCACAAATCCTACTCGTGCTGGTCGAGTTAGTGTCGGGACGATGGAGATTTCGGATAGTGGAGCTCAGTTTACGCGGACTTTGCAGTTGCCGATGATGGAGATTGAGCCCGGAACGATTTGGAATGCACAGCTGGCACTTTCAAACTTACTAAGTGGTAGGAGTGTGTCCGTAATGGCTCACATGACGCTGTCACACGTTGTGCCGAATGACGGGGCCATTGCTGTGTATTTGCCGTACATGTATGGATCGTTACCGGGTGTCACCTTGTCAAGTATTGCTGGATTAAACGGTGATTTTACGATTTCGACGAAGAATAATGCGATTTGGATTAAGCGAGATCTCGGCTCTGGAACGGACAGTGCGGAGATGCAGGACGTGGCCATTGTGCTGAAAGGGATCATTCACCCGTTGTTGGAGGGTCCACTAGGTCCATCTGTTCTCTTGCAGACACTGGATTCAGCTAACCGCATCATCGACCAGGCGTATGTGGACACGTCAGATAATGTCCTTGCGAAAGCACGCGTAGTGTTTAGCAGTTTGAGTCTTCCAGTGACTGAAGGCGATGCTACAGGTGGGCATTACACGGTCTCATTGAGTGCGCCACCTTATGGAAATACTGCGCTAACACTTGCAGTGGGAGATTCTACTTCAAGAGAGAAGCTAACGCTTGATCCGGAGTCAGTAATATTTTCCGCGTCAAATTGGTCTACCCCTACAAAAATCACAGTGACTGCATCGAATGATTACGTTGTGAGCGGAAGTTCCACTGAGGAAAGCATCGTGAGAATTGGACACACTATTGTTACCGGTGACAGCGGCAACTCATTTGCGATGATCGATGAAGTGAACGTTCACATTAGCGAGAACGATTTTCCTGCCGTTCATCTCTCCGAGCGCTTTCTTGCAGTTGTTGAGGGACTTCGCAATGACAGTTACCAGATTTCTCTACTGTCGCAACCAAGCAACGATGTCGTTATTCAGATGACACCGCAGGATTTATTTATCGAGACATTTCCGGATCAAGTGGTGTTTACAACTAATTCGTGGAACACACCGAAGATTATTAACGTGGTGGCATCCCTCACAGCATCGACTGCTAGAGCAACTAGTGGCATTTTTCATCAGCTTTCGTCGGCTGATGCAAACTATAATGGCAAAAGCGATCGAGTTTTCCCCCAGAACGAAGTTTTGGTATACTACGAGCCGCTTGAGATGGAATCTTGTGTGGAGCCATGTCGAGCAGGATGGTTCCCGCTCGTTAACACTGCAACGGGGGAGTCACAGTGTGTTGGATGTCCACTTGGATATTTCTGTGCGGGATCCTGTGCGGCACCAGTGGCGTGCCCTAAAGGCACGTCGTCTAGTGTGGAATTTGCACATGACGTTAGTGCTTGTCAGACTTGCTCGACTGGAATGTATGCGCACACTGAAGGATTGTCGAATTGTCTAGTGTGCCCGGCTGGTGCATCTTGCAGTGATAAAGAAGCAAGCCCTGAACCTTGTCCTACTGGTTTCTATTCAGGTACTGGTGAAACGCGGTGCCATGAATGCCCAGCGGGAAGCTTCAACAATGAGACGTTCCAGTCTACATGTACACATTGTCCAGAGGGTTATTACTGCCCTAAAGGCTCAATTAATCCTGTTGCGTGCGCACAAGGCACTTATTCTGTTAATTCTGGGGCTACACCCTGCGAAAACTGTTCTGCTGGATATGCGTGCTCTGATCCGACAATCAGACCAGTTGCGTGTTCAAGTGGCACTTACTCTCTCGCGGACAGCTCGACCTGCACGACGTGCCCAAGTGGACACTCATGTCCATCTACAGATCAAGCACCGCAAGTGTGTGGTGCAGGGTACTACAGCGCTCAGGGCTCAACAGTGTGCAAAGTGTGCCCTCACGGATACGCTTGTAGTAGCTCTACAACATCTGAGCCTGTTGTGTGTATATCAGGCACATACAGCAGCAACGAAAGAGCGATGTCATGTCGTACGTGTCCTGCTGGACACAGCTGTGTCGATGTGAGCCAATCACCAGTTCTTTGTCAGCTTGGAAGTTACAGCATGGAGGTATGGCATAGCGATGCGACCGTGTCTTGATAGGAATAACTAATTGTTCGTGTTGTTGGTTTTGGTCAGGGCGATCCCGTTTGTCATGCGTGTCCAGCAGGCAGCTATTGTCCTGACCCGTCTAGCGCTGCGTTGAGTTGTGCCACAGGCACTTACTCGCTAGGCAATGCCACGGTGTGTACTCCGTGTGGTTCTGGCGTGAAGTGCTCGATTGATGCGGCTCCGGTTGCCTGCGCTGCGGGTTACTACTCAATAAACGCATCAACTCCGTGCATGCTGTGCGATGCTGGAAGTTATTGTCCATCTACCTCATTGCCGCCGACGAAATGTGCTCAAGGTACCTACAGTCGCAGTGGAGCCGTTGCATGCACAGCCTGCCCGTATGGATATACTTGCACGACTTCAGGAGACCCTGTGGCGTGTCCGCTGGGTCAAACGAACAATGCGGATCACTCAGCTTGTATTTCATGTCCAAAGGGCTACGAATGCTCTCCACTGAAGAGTGCAGTCATGGCGTGTCCTTCTGGAACTTACAGTTTAGAGGGAGATGATCAGTGCACACAATGTCCAAAAGGTTCCAAGTGTGCAACAACATCAGAAGCTCCTGTTCGATGTGCCGATGGAATGTACTCTACTGCTGGCTCAGTGGAGTGTTTGGACTGCCCTGCTGGCAAGTACTGCCCGCAACCAACTTCGGATCCGATCCCGTGTCCTACGTGGTATTATGCCGAAAAGGGAAGCACAACTTGCATCCCATGCCCCGCTGGAATGGATTGTACGTCATCGTCCAGTGCACCAGTAACGTGTCCAAGCGGAACGTATAGTTTAGGCACGGCTTCAGCCTGTTTGCCTTGCCCTGCTGGATTTGCGTGCGTGAACTCAACAACAGCACCAACAGTGTGTGACCCCGGAACTTTCAGCGTTCATGGCCAGGATAATTGTACACAGTGTTCTGCTGGACATTATTGCCCACAGTCAGGCCAGACTGTCCAGCTCGCATGTCTTAATGGAACATACGCCGAGCCTGGAGCGACTGTTTGCACAACATGCCCTGCTGGGATGCAGTGTCCAGTAACGACTCAAGGAATCAAGGAAGCGTGTGCCCCAGGAACGTATTCGCTGGGTGGTCAAGCACACTGCATCTCGTGTCCGATAGGGCATATGTGTCCACGCGTGGATGGAAGTCAGAATGCAGTATGCGCACCAGGATGGTACTCGTCTGGAGGAGCAGTGCAGTGTACAATTTGCCCTGCTGGCTATGCCTGTCCAGATCCGTCGACGTCTCCTCCGGCTACTTGCCCTGATGGCTACTACGGTTTGGCTGGTTCCAAGGTTTGTACTGCTTGCCCCGCTGGTTATGTGTGTCCGGATCGAACGACCAAGCTACTTGTTCCTTGCGCTAAAGGAACGTACTCAACTGGCGGAGCGAGCTCTTGCACACCGTGTCCAGCTGGTTATGCATGCTCATATTCTAACAGCTCCAGTGTCGAGCTGTGTCAGTCAGGATACTATTCGCCAACAGGCTCAGGTTCATGCGTTGAGTGTCCTCGAGGATACTATTGCGACAAACCCAACGAAATGCCAAAGAACTGCTCTGTCGGCTACTACAGTCTGCGCGGGTCTACGAGTTGTTTAGCATGTGATCCTGGTTACGAGTGCCCACGATCCGACCAGCTACCGCAACCGTGTCCTGTTGGCTACTACAGTGAAGGTGCTGTGGCAAACTGTCGTTCGTGCTATCCAGGATACAAGTGCAGTCTCGCATCAACGAACCCGACTCCAGAAGAAGACGCTTGTCCAATGGGCGGCTACTGCAACCCGCCGACAACATTTTTCCTGTGTCCTGCAGGCACGTTTGGTAATGTGACGGCTGGAGAGGTACGAACGCAGTCACCGTTCATTCTTCAACCACATCACTGATCGTGTTATTTGAATATTGTAGAGCATTGATCATGCATGTGCTCCTTGTCCAGAGGGCTATTACTGCGAAATGGGAACGACACCACTGACACGGCAGATATGCCCCGCGGGGTTTTTCTGCCCGGAAGGCACCAAGCGTGCGTCTCAAAATCCATGTCCAGCTGGAACTTTCAATCCGAATCAAGGTCAAAAGAGCTCGGATGTCTGTCAGATCTGTCCAGCAGGGTCGTATTGCCCAACTGGAAGTTCACAGCCACAGCCATGTCCACAAGGCTATTACTGTTTAGAAGGCACCCGCACGGTGAACCAGTACCCGTGTCCCGCTGGAACGTTTAGTGGCCCGCAGACTGGGTTGACTATCGGGTCGCAGTGCAACGAATGTCCACTTGGAAGCTACTGCCCGGAAGCGAGTAGTTCTCCAACAAAGTGCCCAGCGGGTCGATATAATCCAAAAACGGGAGCTGCAGATGTGCACGAATGTCTGGACTGTCCGCCTGGTTGGTCGTGTCCTCACGTGGGGCAAAGTGACTACGTGGATCGATGCACTAAGGGCCACTATTGTCCAGGTGGCACAGTACTTGCGACGGACCATCCCTGCCCTGCTGGAACGTACACAGAGAGTGTCGAGCTCATCCGATCTCAAGACTGTACTATTTGTCCGTTGCGTCACTCCTGTTTACAAGGCACAGGAGGCGAAACACAGACGATGTTGGATTGCGGACCCGGCTTCTTCTGTCCGAACGGCACAGCCTATCCCAACCAGTTCCCGTGTCTACCAGGGACATGGAGTTCCAGTACGTCGCTATCACTTGCTGCGGAGTGCGATATGTGTCCGCCTGGAAAATATTGCCAAGGAGGCAAGTCTTTCATTGACGGTAGCTGTGCACCCGGTCACTACTGTCCGCTTGGGACTTACTCAAGTACCCAGTTCCCGTGTCCAAGTGGAAAATACACGGCTAATACGTGGTTATTCGAGCCAAGCCAATGTGACGACTGTCCTCCAGGTTACTACTGTCCTGCCGGGTCTGTGGCACCAATTCCGTGCAAGGCTGGCAGTTATACTTCAGTCAACGATACGAAAACGGTGGGCCCAGCAGACGCATGGCCGGCATGTATCACTTGTCCAGCTGGATACTACTGCATTGAAGCCTCTGTGACTCCCAAACCTTGTGGCAGGGGAAAATTCTCTACAAGTGGATCAAAAGCATGCTCGACATGTGAGGCAGGTTACTTCTGCAACAGTGAGACTACCAGTGCAGCAAATATGCGGTCCAATGCAGTGGGTTGGTCAGCGCCCGGGGCACTTTACGGCACCTGCTACAATGGCACATACTGCCCGGCAGGATCGGATAGTGAACCTGCGCTTGAAACGGATGCCTGTCCGCCGGGGTATTATTGTCCGACTGCTACCCCTTCACCGATCATTTGTCCTGCTGGTACGTACAGCAACCTCACCGGCCAAGACACTATGAGTGACTGCACACCCACCCCAGCGGGCTACTTCAGTCTGGCCGGTGCGTTGGAGCCTACAGGTGTGTGCTCTCCTGGTTTCTACTGTCCCATTCGTTCAACCTCTCGAACTCAAGTGCCGTGTCCACCAAGATACTACCTGAATCGAACCATGGGCCAGAGTGAAGACGACTGTGCAGTTTGCGTCTCAGGCTCCTATTGCCCCATTGGCACAGCCTACCCGGTCACGTGTCCAGCAGGATACTATTGCCGCACAGGAATAGCGAGTCCAGAACCCTGCCCGATCGGCACGTACTCTAACGCTACTGGATTGAGAACTGTGGATGACTGTTTGCAGTGTCCTCCAGGTATGTACTGTGATTCGACGGCACTCACCGTACCAAGAGGTCTTTGTGATCCTGGTTATTACTGCACTTTGGGAGCTTACACATCGGCTCCGATGAACTACGAGTCGACAATATTTGGCGTGACCAATCGACATACTGGTGATCAGTGTCCACCAGGTACTTACTGTCCGTTGGGATCTTCATCACCAACGTTGTGCCCGCCTGGGACGTATAACAATTTCACAGGATTGGAATCTGTGGGTCAATGCGTGCCGTGTCCTCCTGGTGAATACTGCGAGACACCAGGGCTACTCTTACCGACTGGCAGTTGTCATCCTGGTTTCTATTGTATCGGAGAAGCCACGATACCGACTCAAATGGAAACGCCGGCTGGGTTTTTCTCGCTCGTGGGTGCCGCCGCTCCGTCACCATGCCCCCCTGGCCAGTTCAATCTCTATCCTGCTCAAGACAAATGTGTGATCTGTCCTGCAGGTTTCTACTGCGGATTACCGGGAACTATTACGCCCACAATATGCCCCAGTGGAAATTACTGTCCTGAAGGTACCGGCCTGCCAGTGAAATGTTTACCTGGTACTTTTGCAGATGTCCAAGGTCTCGTGAAAATTGAACAGTGTGAACCATGCCCCAGCGGTCAGTACTGCGATTCTTACGGTCTTTCAGCTCCAAGTGGACCCTGTTTAGCTGGTTTTGTGTGCTCGGGGGCGTCGCCAGTTGCCAACCCTATGAACCAAAGCTATGGTTACGTGTGTCCGCCGGCTAGTTATTGTCCAGAAGGTACAGCGAGTGCAATACCATGCCCAGTCGGTTCGTTCCGAGCTGGAACGGGAGGTACAAGTCTGGTATCATGTTCGCTGTGTCCCGGAGGCAAACATTGCAGCCTTACGGGCTTGACCGCTCCATCAGGTTCGTGCAACCCTGGCTACTACTGCATCTCCAATGCCTCGACGCCTACACCCACGGACGACGTGACTGGAGCGATCTGTCCTGCTGGATTCTACTGTCCGGAGGCCTGCTCTGCTCCTCTAAAGTGCAGTGCTGGCACGTACGCTGCAGGCAAGGGTCAAGATATTTGTGACGAGTGTCCGATGGGGTACTTCTGCGATGGCGTAGCAACAAGTACATATGAGGATTGCCCTACTGGTCACTACTGCCCTACAGGCACCGCAGAATTACCCGTGCCGTGTCCGATTGGAACGTTTAGCAACGCCATTCGATTGACGAATGTGACGGAGTGTCAAAACTGCACAGCGGGGTCTTTCTGTGCCACTTTGGGATTGGTGCAGCCTACAGGACTATGTGCTGCAGGAAGCTTTTGTCCGCCACGATCAGAGAGTGCGTTTGGTAGAACTACTGACAACGAGACCCACATCTGTCCTGCTGGTGGTTACTGTCTCGAAGGCACGTACTTGCCTATTCCGTGCCCTACGGGGACCTACTCGAATGATACAGGATTGGTAAAGGCTGGAGATTGCGTCTTCTGTGATGAAGGCTCGTACTGCACCGATGTAGGGCTAGTTAAACCCACAGGATTGTGTGACAGCGGCTACTACTGCAAGCGCAACAACACGCAGCCTAACCCTTCCTCTGGTGTTGTGAAGATCGTGACGAGTGCAACTGAAGGATCCGAGCTGGCCATGTACTTTGGCGGACAAGTTTGTCCGATCGGTTCGTATTGTCCACATGGTGCTGTGAGTCCGATCTTGTGCCCCGAAGGTTCATACTCCAACGTCACCGGTTCATCGATATGTCTGCCGTGTCCACCCGGGTTCTTCTGTCCTCTTGGTTGCAGCGATTATCGGAGCAACGAATGCCCGATGGGCCACTATTGTCCCGAAAGTACACAAAGAGCTTCTCAGTTCCCGTGCCGACCTGGGTCTTTCGGTGATCGGAAGGGACTACAGGACCTTGTGCAGTGCACGCCAGCTCCTGGAGGTACATTTATCGATGGATACGCAGCTGTGGAGCCAACAGGGAATTGCCGTAGTGGGTTTTATTGTTCAGGTGGATCTGCTACAAGCACACCAGCAGAAACTACAGCAACTGGTGGGCCGTGTCTCCCTGGTACAAATTGTCCCGAAGGTTCGGCGGTTCCGATCGTCTGCGATGCTGGAGCTTATTGTTCGTCAACAAATACCGACGCAGCGTTGCCTTGTAAGGAAGGGTTCTACTGCGTACAAGGATCTTACACAGCAACGCCGACCGGCCAAAATAACTCGCTTGGTACGATCGGTGACGTGTGTACACGCGGTCATTACTGTCCACAAGGCACTAGCAACCCCATCCCATGTCTTCCAGGGACGTATTCAGAGACCACCCAAAACGTGAACGCAAGCTACTGTCTCCCATGCTCTCCAGGGTTTATCTGCAGCGCCTCTGGGATCGTGACTCCATTTGAAAAATGTCCGGCCGGGTTTATTTGCCCTGGTGGTGAAAGCACAGCCACACAGCTTTGTCATAAGGGATCTGAATGTCCCGAGGGTTCGTTCGAGCCGCGCCCATGCCCTGCTGGGACATTCGCTGATGAAAAGGGTCTTGCATCCTGTAAATTGTGTCCTGAAAGATACTATTGCGAAGCCGGGAGTTTTACTCCTCTGATCTGTCCGCAAGGTTACTATTGTCCACTGCAAACGCCGTCGCCAAGAAAATATCCGTGTTTGGCTGGGTCTTTTGGAGATCAAACAGCGTTGGCAAGCTCAAAGGAGTGTGCGCAATGTCCACCAGGGAAATTTTGTTCCGGGTTACCACCAACTAACACAACGTCAGGTGACTGCGCTCCTGGTCATTATTGCGTTGGGAAAGCAACCACATCGGAGCCAAAGGACGCAATTACTGGAGGTTTGTGTGACGGTGGCCACGTTTGCTTCGGAGGAGCGTGGGTGCCTGATCCGATCGATGGAATTACAGGACGGATATGTGATCCCGGGTTTTATTGTCCAGAAGGTTCATTCAACCAGATCCGGTGTCAGAAGGGAACGTACAACAGCGTCGAGAAACAAAGCTCCTGTGTTATTTGCCCGGCAGGTGGATATTGCGATACAAATTCTACAACTCCAGTACCATGTCCCCTTCGATACTATTGCCCAGAGGGGATCGAAGATCCTGTGTATTGTCCAAATGGCACTTACGGGCACGAGGTGGGGCTAATGAATGCTACTGAGTGCGCTCCCTGTCCTGCAGGCAAGTTCTGTGTAGCTGGAACAGTGACTGCTTCGTGTACTGCCGGGTATTACTGTAAACTACGAAATGATCACCCAAACCCAGTGACAGCAATTACGAACGGTATAGCAGATGATGACATCGCGTGGCGGACAGAACTGGGAGGCCCATGTCCCATCGGCTACTACTGCCCAGAAGGAGTGCTAGACCCCATTCCGTGCCCCAAGAATTCGTCACGTCTTCAGACACTCGGGATTGCAGAAAGTGACTGTGATCCATGCCCTGCAGGGAAAAGCTGCAATGATGGTAGCAATACTGTCCCGTGTCCTGCTGGATCGTATTGCCCTTACGGCGTCAGCGAAGTACCGTGTCCGGCTGGTACGTTTAACGGAGCTGAAGGGAAGGCAAATCGAGAAGACTGTCTACCTTGTGATGCTGGAAAGCTGTGCAGTCGGACTGGAATACTGGATCTAACAGACTACGACTGTCCACCTGGGAACTATTGTCTACGCGGTTCGTTTGAACCGCATCCTTGTCCAGCTGGAAAGTATCGCGCTGTTAGTGGGGCGAAAAGCGCAGATGATTGTTCGCAGTGCATTGGTGGTTCCTATTGTGAAACTGGAGCTACGCAACCTACAGTATGCAATGCTACTACACACTGTCCTGCTGGTGTAGGCTCACCACTTCTGTGCCCTGGCGGTAGCTACTGTCCGTATAACACAACCAGTCCAGTAACCTGCCCGGAAGGCTTCTTCTGTTCACCCGCCGTTGAGTCGCCTTCGATCTGTACACTTGGTCACTACTGTCCCAGCGGAACAACAGCACAGATTCCTTGTCCACTAGGACACCTTGGTCGAACCACGCCCTTAGATGGAGCGTATACGTCGCTCTATTCATCCTGTGAAGCATGTCCTCCTGGAACATTTGGTATTGATGTCAATCGAACTCGTTGCGATGGGTGCTTGGAAGGATTCGTCTGTCTTGGAGCGACCAATTCAAGCCACCCGACAAGTCGAGAGGTTGATAGAGGATACCCATGCCCGCCCGGCCACTATTGCCCTGCTGGTAGTTCATTGGAGATCGCCTGCCCGCGCGGAACTTATCAACCGAACTACAAAGCCTCAAAGGCATCGGCGTGTCTGCCTTGCACCGAGAATTCGTATCAAAATTCTGAAGGCCAAGGAAGCTGTTTACCGTGCTCTACGAGCGCCTTTGCCGGAACCGGAGCCACCAAATGCACGTGCGTTGGTAGCCATCGTGCCTTTCAAATGACAGACGGATACTGTATCTGCGAACCCGGTTACGAGTTCTACGACCAAGACATGATTTTGCGCAGTGACGAAGACGGAGACGTGGATTGCCAACCGATCGTGTACGACCGATGCGGCAGCAATCAAGTGCGCTCTGACAGCGGGTTGTGCGTGTCTGCGAGCGGGAAAGCTTGCGACGCAACCTGCAACAATGGTACAGGTACTTATGTCGCTAGTCTCGGCGTTTGCCAATGTGATGAACAGCCTGACCTGGATACTGTTTGCAACAAGAAATGCCGTGACGAAGCAACACAGATTCAAGTTAACAGCAGTACCGGTGAACTGCAGCTCTATGATCCTGGTACTGGAGAAGTGCTGCTCTTATCGGATGAAGATAGCACTAGTGGCCTTGTCTCCAAGGTATCGTGCACGTCAGGGAGCGACTGTCAGCTTCACTCGATTGCAGTGTCCTCGACTGGGTTTTCAGGTTCTTACGATCTACCTCCAATGATATCGGACACAACTTCTCGAAGACGACGATTATCTACTTCATCAACTTCGCTTTCAATCGCGAATCCGATGGTGTGTTTGTCCGTGGGAGACGGCTTACTCTTCGACTTGTCTGTGCCTGGTTCATATCCGATCTACCTGAAGGATTCCATGCTCAATACGAATCCGAGTTTTGATTACGGAGCCTTCCGCTCGCTTGCTACGAAGGTGAACGCCAACTCAAGTACCGTATCAGCATTCGCTTTTTCCTTCACAGAACCAGGGACGTATGTGTTTGGGAACTCGCTCAACTCAGCAGCGCAGACGATTGTGGTAGTGATGAAAGCTGGTACAAGTTGCCCTACGGAAGCCCCGATTGTTCCGCTCAATGAGAAGAATCTGATCACTGTCAGTGCCAAGCGACGGACTGATGACATTATCTTGGCACCTGACTGGGGGCTTATCATTGGACTACTAGGTGGGCTTTTCGGAGTTGTGATAGCAGTCATTGGTGGCCTGTACTACTTCCGAGCCAAGAGCTGGACCAACACTGCCGTAAAGAGCGTCAGCGGATACCGAGCAAAGAATAAACAGGTAAACCTGTCAGCTATGCACTCGAAAGGTACTGTAGCTGTGACTACAGATCCTCCGCAAGATGGAGATCTTTTGACGACTGAACCGACGACAACGGCAAAGCAACTTCAGCTTGGAGGGCAAGAACCAAAGAAGGGAGCGACGATGGAGTACCATGCAGACTTGGGACGCTGGGATGAAGAAGACTTGGACCTGCGTGAACTTGTAGACCGACTTCAGTTCCATCACGAAGCTGTAACGAAAAATTTCGAGGGTCAAAAAGGAGACGTGAAGCAATTGATGCAGCACTTGCAAGCTGAGGCTACTGAACTCAAGAGGTTGTTCGTGAACGCTTTAGTTGCTTCCGGCATGTCGTCATCTCCATATGCAAACAAAGAGGACCCCAGTGCGTCAGAGACGGCTGAAGCGTCTGAAACTCTGCCGTTAAGTAAAATAAGTGGACGTCCGCGATCAAAAAGTGTGGCAGGCAGGGAGAAATTTCTGTTGGAGAATCTTGAGCGTGACCTACAAGAGCGTGACCAATTTGAGCAGAAGAAGACTGCCATGTTGGGCAGCGTGAGTGCTGGTCTTCGCGAAATTGAAGGCTGGAGTGGGCAGTTGGCAGAACTTACTGGCGCAATAGTTCACGAAATGTCCTCATCGTTTGATGATCGCACACCCGAGCGCACCAGCACAAGTGAGGAATCTTGTCTCGAGCATGCACGGATGGTGCTAGACGACTTGAAGACGTTGTTAGGGTCCGACCCGATGACACAAACCTCTTCATCTATTATTCACCTTGCAGTGCAGGAGAAGGGCCGACGCGAAGTAGGGAATTTTGTCTTGGAAGCATCTCAACGATACTTCACGCCTCGTTCTGCAGCTCAAGACTCCACTTGCTCTAATACCGCAATTCAAAGGCTCCTGGAACTACATGATGATGTCGAGAAATCCCAAAACAAAGAGGATGAGGCGCTGTTTGGACCTCTGTCATCTCTGCAAAAGTTTGGAGCTGCTCTCCCCCAAGTACTCGCTACGATTGATGACTTCGAGGCCAGCTTCCGTCGTGAGCTGGATGCCGTTCGAGAAGAGCAAAATCCAGTTAAAGAGCGTGCTGTACAAGCTCAAATGCAAAGCCGTCTTAGCAAATTGCTGAAAGAAGTTGCCGCTGGAGCTAAGAAGGTGAACGAAAGGCTGGAAAAGGAAGCTCCACGCATCATAAAGCTTCGACGCGGAGCTCAACACGCGGAAGATACACTAAGTACAGCGGTGACAAGCGCAAAAGAGGATTGGAACGTTGCCAGTCAAGAGCAAAGAGATCATACTCGTGTGGTGACAAGTACGCAAGAACCTGAAGTGGCAAGAGTTCAGCCGCTTTTTCCGACTGCAGAAGATCTGGCTGCATCAAAACTTCGAGATGACACACTCTTCCAGATTAAAGATCTGTTGGTTGGGCTTACCACACTTCTCCGGTCGAACAGTGTACCCTCAATGGCAACACTGCAACACTCTGCACAACTGCAATCACCTCCAGCGCTGATCGACTCACGAGTAGCGGATGCAAAACGCAAAGTTGAGAGCGCCACACAACAGAGTGCTTCTGAGTATGCATCAGCTCTAGCTACAATCTATCCACAACTTTCAGCTGCAGATAAGGAGCGCTTATTAGATGACTTCGCCTTGGATATGCGTACAATTCAGTCGTCGGTAAGTGTGGAGGCTACGCGGACGCAGGCCGAGCTAGCAACAAGACAAGCTGCCACGGAGGCACTTCGTGAGGCTAAAAAGGCCCACGTCCAGCGTCGAGAGCAGGAAGATGCTGATGTTCTGCGTGCACAACACGATGAGGAGGAGCAGTCACTTGAGTCTCAATTTCGAGAAGAAGAACTGGCCATCGAGCAAGAATATCTCAAAGAGCTATCGAGTCTGGAAATGGAGTTTGGAAGTGGCAGTGGCGACGAAGCAGAGGGAGACTTTGCTAAGTCACCAGACTCTTTATTTCGTGATTTCGGCGATGGCATCGCAGGAGATGAAATCCTTCCTATACAGGTAACTGAAGCTGAAGACATCGCGGATATACTTGACTCTAAGCTGGGTGCTCAAGTTGATGATAACGCAGATATCATTGCACAGCTCAACGACGTGTATTCCAAGGCTTGGAATGATCGTGTCCGGATTCTCGCAATGGAAGAAACGCTTAAAAAGGAGCAACTCAGCGAACGCCTTCATCGAAAGAAGAATGCACAGAAGGGTAACACGGACGCAATGATGGAAGAAGCGGTCGATTCATCGCAGCCAGACGAGGAACTAAAGGAACTGATGTTGGAGTCTTCAGAGCTCAAGGAAGAAATTCTGGAAGGAGTTGTCAAGAAGCAAGACGACATGGATATGCTTCAGCAAGAAGCAGTGGATAGGGCGGTTGAACGCCTTCGACAGCAGGTTGCGGACTGTGCGAATCATGCTACTGATGAGGAGAGAGACTCACAACAGTCTCGAGATGCCATCACTGAGCTGGTCATTATAACAAGAAATGCTGCTGAAGTAGATAAAGTGGAAGCTGGAAAGGTTATCGCCCATGTCGAGGATGAGCTTCAGAAGCTACAGATTGAGTATGATCATGACTTCATGGCTCTCAGAGAAGAAATCGAGAACGAACGGCTGCGTCTTAATGCTAAGATGCAAAGTGCGTTATCAGCTAAACGTCGTCGTGGCATCAGGGAAGATAAGAAGAGGAGCGACGATGTTTTTGCTGAACGAACTGCAAGCGACAATGAGAACAGCTTACAGGAGGAGCTGGAGACTCAGCTAGAAGAGTTCACGAATAAAGCAATTGAAGAACTGCGAGACAAGCACTTTGAGCTACAGCAGAAGGTGGAAGCTGAGAGGGTTCAAGCAGCAGTCGCTGTGGCAGTAGCAGATGCCCAACTGGCGTATCTGGATGAGTTATCAAGTAATGTGCAAGCCAATCAAGTGACTTCAAAGACGATAGATGTTGTGGATACACCGCGTACCCGACTTGAGGTAACAGGAGACCTTCTAGAAGCTCTTGCTATTAAAATTCCCGGTCAGATTGAACAACAATTCCAGGATGAGTTCGATCAACTGCACGCTGACTACGAGAAGGCACGCGCTCAGCGCAGACAAGATCTTGAAGCTGACGCTGCGATGAGGAGAGCTAAACTCATAGAGAGAATGAACCGTCGACGACGTGAGAAGGAACCCAGTTCGAGTGAGGAGAAGAGAAGAGGTCAATATGCTGGATCGATACCTGAGATACTTGATAGGCAGGAGCAACTGGAATTGGCGACGATCGATGAGAACCTGAAGGTGGCAATAGCAGCACTCGACGAAAACGAGAGACAAGGAGGCGAGGCGTTAGCCAAGGCATTGGCCTCCAGTCTGCACAGATGTGGGAAGGAGTTTGAAGGGCAGATTCGTCAGTGTCGACAGCAGCACGAGGTTGCTGCGAGTTTACTAAAGTCAGGAGATGATAAAGGTGCGATAGAGCTTGCAAAGTGTTTGGGAAATGTTTTGGACGCCATGGAGCACGAGACATCTCAACGTGCGAAGACCGCTACTCAAGCTCGTGAGGCCATCGAACTGGAAATTGAGCGTCTACAAGACGACAGCTCTAGTGCTTTGGCTGCCCTTACGGTTGCGTTAGACGCTGAGAAACATCGTCAGGAGCAGCGATTGAAGCAGCGCATGAAACAGCGTCGTGAGCAACAGCAAACACAACTTCCAGCCGGTTCCTCTCCAGAAAAAGTTGCTGAAATGAACGCCGTCCTCGCTGAGCAAGAAATGGTGGAGAGACAAAAACTGGAAGATCAGCTGGAGGCTCAAGCTCAGCTCGCATATGACGAGGAAATGGGAAAACAGCGTGAACATGAAGACCGACTGGCGCAACAACTTCGTGAGGCCACTGTTGCTGAGATAGCAGCCGCTGCTAGTAAAGAAGCGGTTTCACAGGCTCGCAACGAGTATTTGAATTCTGGAAACGAAGCTGAAGTGGTAGCTTTGGTACAGTGGTGGAGAAGTCGACAGCCTTCTACACACTCGGTGAAAGAAGCTGCAAAGATCGTTCGAAAGCGCAGCGTAGCGTCTCAGTTAACCGCTGTTGATGCGTTAGCTTCTGCAGTAGAGGTTAGTAGCGCTAGTGGTGTCAAACAGAATGTGGTGACGGATACCATGGCCGCAGAAATGGAGCAGCAGATCAAGGCCTTGAATGCGAGTCATCTTCGCGCATGGCAGCAACGGCAGCAGGAGCTTCAGGAGGAAGAAGCGCGGCAGAAAGCTGAACTAGAAAGTCGTCTGCGGCGAAAGCGCGATGTAAACCTTCATGCCGGCAGCGGACAGCAGGCTGACAAACACGACGAGACAGAGGACGAACAACTTCACCAGCAGCTCGTGACAGATGCAATAAAGCGGAGATTCGCCATGGAGGCGGAGATTGACGCGGATCTTGAGCTGCTCGCTGCAGCAGTTCAGTTTGCCGGTGTCCAAAGCACGACTGACATTGAGGCACTACTAGCTGCCTGTCACGCGAATTTCGAGACCGAGACTGCAGCGCTACGTGATGCTCTGCGCCTTCAGCGACAAGCACAAGAAGAAGCTCTTCGCCGGCGACTAAAGCAAAGACGGCGGGACAAGCTTCAGGAGCTTGAGAACGCTGGGAAGAGTACTGATATTGATGCTCACGAAGCGCTGGAGGATTCTTTAAAGCAAGAGGAGACAACGGAGCTTCGCAGTATTGCTGAAAACGAGACCCAACAGCTCAGCGCACTGCATGAACGCCTCCGTGGTGAAATAGGAACTGCTTTTGCTGAAGCAGATCGCAAAGCTAAGCGTCGCTGTGACGATGCTAACACAAGGTTGGTTTCGAGTGAAGAGCAGCTGGATGGAATCTACCGAGAGCATGAAGAAAGTAGACGTGCTCTTCGTGAATCGCTAGGAATTGAGCATCGCAGACAACAAGATAAATTACTAGAAAGAATGGCGAAACGAAGGGCTGAACGGCTAGCGGAACTGAAGCGAGAACATCCGAACGATCTGTCCGAAGAAATAGTCCAGAAAGCTATGCTGGAGTTGAACACTGAGCATGAACGCGAACGTTTACGACTCGAAGATGTGATCAGCGACCAGACTACCAAGGTACTGCAGGAGCTAGACGACAAAATGCGTGAAAAGGAGACAAGTCTACAAGTCGAGACTCGACGACTGCGCGCTGAGGCTGAAGCCGCCCAGGCAGCACGTGAAGCGTTGACTATGGCGCATTGTGCCGAGGTGGAACGAGTTACTCGTGAGTTCTACGCGTGTTTGAATGGAGAAGTGGATGTGGAGAAGTTAAAGTCCCAGGATCGTCGTCGAAGACTTGAAGAGAGACTTGCAGCTAAGCAGTTGAGGAAAACTGAATTGCCTCCATCATCGGAGAGCTCCCAGGGCCCACTAGGGCAGAAGCAGGGGCCGCTTTCATCGATTCTACTCGCAGAAACGCAGTCCATTGTGGTAGACGACTTGGAGAGCCAATTACAGAGACTGCATGACGAACATGATCGTGAATGGGGAGTGTTGAAAGCACGTCTTGATGACGAGACTCGGTTGCGCAAAACTCAGCTAGCGGAGCGGCTTCAACGTAAACGTCAGTCGCTACAAAACAATGCAGCGTTATCGTCTGGTGAGAAACAAGCCGCTGAGGCCGCTCTGGGTCGAGAAGCGGAACGAGAGAGTCTCGAAATCGACGCGTCTGCTGCAATAGCGACTCGATCGCTTAGGTTGGTGATTCTTCAAGTAAATGAGCAAGCTGCAGACACATTGACAGCTAGTTTTGCGTCAAATAGTGACGGCTTAGAAGCAGCGTTGGCAGCAATTAGAAAGCAGCATGATGAGGCGCAACGCAGGCTACGCGAGAGTCTCGAAATGGAGCGCCGCAAGCAAGAGCAGCTACTGGAAGAAAGACTTCGCCAACGCCGAGCTGGGAGAAAAGCAGGAACGGAGCCGATGTCGAAGGAAGGCGCCGAAGAAGAAGAAGAGCTAAAGCGTGAGCTGGAAGAGCAGCTTTATACTCAGGAAGTCCATGCGTGGACTGCATTGCGTGAGAGTGAGCAGCAGGAAGTTGACGCCATATTGGCACCTCTGGAAGCTGCAGCTGCACATCGTCTTGATGATGCAGACCTGGCAGAGCGGAGAGCGCGTGAAGAACTGGAGCGTATTGCGCAGGAGCACGACCGGCGCTTAGCAGATCTGCTGGAAAGTTTGGAGGCTGATAAGAAGCGCCAGCAGCTCGTACTACGCGAGAAACTGCGTCGCAAACGAGAACAACGTCGATCTGATGGCATCAGTATGTCCGATGCAGAAGCCCAGGAAGAGGAGCGTCAGGCCATGGAGGCTTCGGAAACATCGTTTGAGGCTAATCTGGCGAGTGCACAGGCAGAGGCACTGGAAACTCGTCGTGAAAAGGAAACGGACTTGTTAGCGCAGATTTGTGCTTTGTCTGCTAAAAAAACAGCAGAAGAGGCTGCTCTAACGCTGCTGGATACCGCTCGCCTCGAAGCGGAGCGTGTGAGAACGGAATACGAATCAGCATTAGCTTCAAGACTACAAGTTTCGGCTGTAGCAGATGTCATGGGCCGAGAAGAAATGGCCAAGCGTCTGGCCGAACGAAGACACAAGCGACGGCAAGACAGAGAGCAGCAGAGTCTGAAGGTTGCTAGCTCCTCAAAGCCTGTTGAATCGACAGTAAATGAGCCTGCGGATGACGGGTCGGTGGATCGAGAGATTGTACTCGTGCAGGCTGCTCATGCTCGAGGCGTGAAGTCTAGACGAGACCAACTCGATGCGGAGACGACAGCTCGAAAGGAGGCGCTAGCAGCTCGCCTTGAACATAAGCGACGAGCAGCACAGAAGGGAGGCGACCTAGGGAAGTCTGAAGCAGAGATTGAGAAGGTTCTGTTGCTTGAAGAACAGCAGGAGTTGGCGGCTATCGAACAAGAACAAGCAGTGAAGGAAAGAGAGCTTGAACAAGAAGCCGCACGTGAGAAGGAACATCTCGCGACAGCTCTACGTGAAGCAGATGAGTGTGGAGCTGCAGACATTGAGCGGCAGTTGGCTGCGTGCAAGCAAGCTCATGACATCGAGTCGGTCAAGTTAGAGGAGACACTTCGAGCCGAGCGTACACGGCAGGAGTTCGCGCTGAAACAGAGACTGAACGCTAAGCGACAACGGATTCAAGCTGGCAGTGGTGGCGCTACTGACAAAGACAATTATGATACAGAGACTACAATCGAACAGGAGGCTCAAGTGGCTCAAGCGGAACTGGAGGAACAAGAGAGATCTGCACGGCAGCAACTAGCAGAGCGACAGCAGCAGGAACTGGCGGGTGTGGCTCGAAAACTGAAGCAAGAGGCTGAAGCTCAGCGCCAGGCTGCGTTCGACGTACAAGCTGCAGCAGAGCGTGAACTCAACAGACTGGAAGCAGAGCATGCGCGTGAACGCCGTGCATTGCAGGAGGCATTGCTAGCAGACCAACATAAGCGCGAGTCACAGTTACGTGAAAAGCTGGCCAGGAAGAAGGCAACGCGTAAAGCAAAGGGTTCATCTGATAAACTGGACGAGGAAGATGCTGAAGAAGTGGTCGCAATGGCGGCACTACAAGAAGAGATCATGCAGGAGCAGGCTGTGGCATTAGCCCAAGAACGAGAGAGACAGGAGGCCGCGATGCGTTTGGTTACTGCAGAACTACAAGAGGCTGCAGCAGCATCCGCTAAAGCCGCTGCAGCTTCGCGCCAGGCTCAAGAAGAGGCCTCCCGTGTGGCAGCGGAATTTGAAAGGCATCGTGGAGAAGCTCAGCAACTTCAGACTGCGGAGGCTGCACATTCGAAGCGCAAACTCGCTGATCGCTTAGCAGAGAAGAAAAACAAGCGGCATCTGAAGCAACAGCAGAAACAGGAGCACGATGACGCCAGCGTTGCTGCTAAAGGCCTGGAGGACGAAGCCGAACGGTTGCGACTCGAAGCGCAGATCGAAGCCCAGTTGGTAGCATGTCGAGAAGCTCACGATGCTGAAGCTGCCAAGTTACGGGAATCCTTGCAGGCAGAACGTGAGCGTCAAGAACGCGCGTTACAGGAGCGGATAGCTCGACGAAAGGAGAAGCGGATGCTAGCGGATGCTCAAGCTACAGTAAAGGCTGACGTGAAGGCAGCAGAAGAAGCTGAACTAAAGCAGCAGCAAGAAGAAGAGGCTGCGCTAGCTGCGGCTCTAGCGGCGCAGGAACAAGAAGCCTGGGACGCAATTCAACGCAAACAGGAAGAAGATCTACGTGTCCTGCAAGAGCAGAAGCAGCAACAAGAGCGTGAACGTGCCGAGCGTCAACAACAGGCGGCTCAACAGGAGATGAACCGATTACAGGAAGAACACGAACGCGAACTGCGTGCGTTGACAGCGTCATTAGCTCAAGAACAAGCGAGGCAGGAGGAGAAATTACAGCAACGTATTGCCCTACGTCGTGCACGAAAGCAACGCCAAGATGAGGAGGCCAGTGCTAAAGCTCAACAGCATAGCGCTGATGCTGAAGAAGAGGCTCGCCTCACTGTTGAGCGCGATAAGGCCGAAGCTTTAGCTCAGGCTCAAGCTCAAGCAGAAGCCGAGGCAGAGGAGAAAGAACGACAGGAAATTGCTGCGCGCTTGGCACAGAAGCTGGAGGAGGAGCGTGCTCGACAGAGACGCGAGAAGGAAGAACTGGAGGCGAAACTGACTCGGGAAGCCGAGGAACAAGCTGCAAAGCGAGCAGAAGCGCTAGCCTTACAGCTCCAACAGCAGGCGATCGAGATGGCGGACAAAATGGCTCACGAGTTTAACACGAACTTGCGAGAGCTTCGTGAGACTCATAGTGCCGATGGAGCTGCACAGAAGGCGCGACTAGAGGCTCGAATCGCGGCCAAGAAAGCGCGAAAGCTGAGGGAGCTGGAGGAAAAGCGTGAGCTCGAGCGCCAGCGTTTGCATGCTAGGCAACAGGAGGAGGCGGAAGAAGCAGCCAAGGCTGAAAAGGAGCGCGAAGTTGCGTTAGCTGAGGCAGCGAGACAGGCTGCAACTCCAGTAACGGAACCGATTGTGAATGACCAACCTGCGGTTGTAGCTGTGCTGTCTCGTGCAGAAGACAAAGATGAAGCAGATCGACAGCAGCAACAAGATGTGGCAGCAGTACAGCAGCTCTTTACGTATGGTCTCGTGCCAGCCAAGCTGTCTCTTCTTGGAGCGGTGGAGCTGGTTGTTGGTGCTCGGCACGAACGGGAATTGGCAGCTCAACTGGCTGCGCTCGCACCAAAAACCCTTGACAGAGTACGCCAAGCTCTACAAGCCGTGACTCAGCAGAAAGCAGCACGCAAGGCGCAGGCTCTTCAGGAAATCTCAAGCCGACAAGTGAGCAGTGGCAATGAGCTGAAGACCAAGGCGGAGATTGACACTGTGCTAGCTCAAGTTGACTCGGAGTTTGCAGAAAAGTTGAAAGAAGCAGAGTGTAGAGCTACAGAGGAAAGCGAAGAGACCAAGCGTGGCACCGAGAAACGCCTCAAAGAGCGACAGATGCTCGAGGTGGCATTTCTGTTGGCTCATTTCGACGCACAACACTCGGCAGCACTGACTAACGTGCCCGCAGTTGCTACACATTGTCAACCAGTTCACCAGCAGCAACAGTCTCAGCAACCTCCAATCACTGCTGCACAACAGGATGCTGAAGACCTTGTCAATGAACTTCGGGGTAGACTTGAGCTAGAGGCTGATGAGCGTCGTCGTGAACTGGAAGAAGAGAAGCATCTGGAGCTGAGACGTCTAGCCAAGGAAGAGCAGGATCAACTTGCTGAAGTTGACGCTCGCTTAGCAGCTTTACTCGCTGAAGAGCGTGCAGCGATGACGCGATTGCTGACTCCGAGGCTTCAGACGTTACCTGCTGGAGCAGTGAAACAACGCGAGGCGGCGGAGCGAGAGCACGCAGCCCAACTCCAGCGTTTGTCGCTGATGCTCGAAGGCCGCGGGAAACAACAGAAAGATCGAGTGCGAGCTCGGATTGTGCAGCAGAAGGCTCTGATAGAAGATGAATACTGCCGTAAGGCTCAGATCGTCGTCGCTGTTATGAATCAGCGACTCGTTCAAGAGAAGGCTGGGCTGCGTCAAAAGCAGGAACATCTCGAGATATCCCCAGTGATAGCACAGTTAACTACTCAAGAGCCTCAGCAACAGGATACAGTTACCTCTCAGTCTCAAGCTGTGCTGACTGGTGAACTGGTAAAGCACCTAGAAGACATGCTGGAAGAGCGGCTAGCGAAGATTGAAGCTTTGGTAGCAGATTTCAAGCATAGCGTCCTTGAGCCCTCGCCACAAGCGAATGCTGAACCGAAAGAGATCGGTCCCGAAGAAGACAACAAAGCTTCTGTCGCCTATCGACGCGCCGTTGTTGAAGCTGTGGCGGCTGGATGTCGCTACGAGAAGCAGAAGAGTAACGATAAACAGTCTTTCGTGGCTTCATCTGCGTTTGGAGTAGTGGACGCACATGCTGTGAATGCATCGAAGCTCGTACAAGTCTCAGAGAGTAAGCTGGATGATCGAATGCATGTCCGACAAGACTTCGCGGACCTGTTGCTTCAAGCTGTGGCAGGAAAAGATGAACCTGTTGCTGTGTTAGCTATCGTGGAGCACTTTGGACGAGATAACAATGGCAGAGGGAGTTATGCGAGCTTTTCACCACAGAAGAAGGGCCACAACGACAAAGGCACACTCTACCTGTCGCGTGGTGCTCTGCAAGAACTGTCTACGGGGCAATTGGCGGTGGTGATACTACATGCGCTGGCACAAGCTCACGCGAACTCGAGCGATTTGACGGAACCACAGTTCATCTCGCACCTGTATAGCCTGTTGGTACGCTGCTATCAAGGACTCTTTGCGCACATCCAACAACAACAAAGGGGGACGTCGGCAGCATCAACTGGAGTATCAAGGAAAAGCGTCAGCGCTGGTAGCAAAGCAGATAAGGCAGTCGGTATCAGCTCCAAGGTCGTCAGTGGACAATGGCAAACAAGACTATTAGAGATGGAGGGCTTTTTGACACGTATGGACGGCCAGCAGGCGACGATCCAGCGGTCACAGAGCAGCCAGTTGCGACTGCTACCGAAACAGCGCGAAGGAGAAAATGGTGGAGAGGGTTCAGCCAGTTTCAGCTCGGAGCTGTGGCAGCAAGAACAAATTCAGCTCTTGCAGGAGAAACTGGACACGGCCGAGAAGCTGTATCTGCAGGTATTGCGCCAGCATGAGCAGCACACGCAGACGGTCGAATACTGGCAGGATTTGTTAGCTGAGCAGCGAGATGCTGAATACGAGGAGGATGCCTTTGATGAAGAGGACGAGGAAGAAGGCGAAAAACCTCGCCAGGAAGATCCAGACGCCGTCGAGCGGCAGCAACAGCGCGAGGCTCGAGCGCAAGAAGCTCAGAGCGAGTTGGATAGAGCCTCGAAGGTGCTGGAAGCCACACGCAAGGAGCGAGACGAACTATTCGCGCAGTGTCAACAGCTTCGGGACCAGCTCAACGCGATGCGGAAGTAACATTGCCAAGCAAGAACTTCAACGTGACACCCTGAGAAAATTGATTGAACGGACTGGGAAGGTTTACAATTTACCCAATCAAGTTGCTCTGAAGAAATATAGCCAATCACTGCGTGATATCTGGGTTGTAGCTACACAGCGCACGCTACCGCTACACTTTGAGAAGGCGGCCACACTTCCAAGCGACGAGCGAGATCCGGCAGCGCTGCAGGTCCGTCCACAACCGGCAAGAGAGGCGTCTACATCGTTGTAGAAGCCCCGCAAAAGCACAAAGGATGTAGCCAGTGACTGTTCTGACCGTCATACTTGCTCTCTCGCCCCAGACAGATCAGTCGGCATCGGCGGAGCTATGGCCAAGGAACGGATCAGCTCGGAGGAGCTGGCGCAGCGCAAGGAGGAGTATTATGGTAGGCGATAGCACGAAGATAACTGCTATTTACAAGCGCAAGATAGACTAAACATTGACCTTTTATATCATCTCGTTTACGCTTACAGAACTGCTGGCCACTAGCGACAGCTCCCTTCAAGACGTGCTGAACCAGAGGGGCGGACTGATACTTGCCCGTGTCGGACGCTACCAGCCCTGGCCAGCGAGGGTACGCTATTCAATTCTCATTCGAGCTCCTGCAGTCCAATAAATGTTGTTGTTTGCTACTTTGGCGGCATACAGTTTAGCGAGCCCGGGGAATTCGCCAAAATGGCGCGATATCGCGCTAAGAAGGGCCAGGCGTGTGTCTACTTCTTTGGCAGCAGGAACTAGTACGTGCTATTTAGGATTGATTGCTAGAGCGCGTTGCAGTCTAACGCAGTGGGTTCTTGGCGTTCTCGTAGCGGATGGGTCTCGAAATCGTCCATCCAGCCCTTCCCAGAAGACCTGTCGACGCTTACAGCGTCGAATAAATACAACCAGCAGCACATCCAAGAAGCGCTGGACGAGGCGAAGCTCGTTATGGACGTGACGGACGAAACGGGCAAGCGCTTCTTCGACCGCATGTGCGTTGGGGCACTCTGCGACTCGCTTTGAATTCTTGGAGTCTCTATTCTCATTTTTTGCCTTGTTGACAGCATGGAGCGCAGGGAAGAGGCGGTAGATCTGCCGTGTGAGCGCTGTAACCGAGTGGACGACCACTACTCGCTTCTGATTCTTTGCGACGGAAAGAATTGCAAGCGAGAGTATCACATGAACTGCTTGAGCCCTCCGTTAGTGTCGGTTCCACCCGGAGAATGGTTTTGTCCAGACTGCGAGAAGGAACGCGAAAAAGAGCGCGAGAAGGAGCTACAAAAGCGTGCAAAGGCAGAAGCGATGGACAGCCAGGACTCTGTTGCTACAACGGTGAATGGACTTGATAGCACTTTGCCATTGGCGAAGACCCTGTCCTCAAAGAAGACCAAGAAGCACAAGCACATCTCCAGGGATGGAATAGTGAAGCGTCGACTGTCTTCAGTTTCTCCAGATAGACCAGGTGGCCCAGTAAAAAAGCCTCGAGGCCATCGTTCGTCCTCTAGGGAAGTCTCACCCCCACCCAGAAAGGACTCAACTATGCCTAAAAAGTTGGACGGAAGGAAGAAAAAGCCTTCCCAGCTTTCGATTTCAAGCAGCAGAGCACAGCTCTTGTCCGATCCTGACAGCGGCACAGCTGACGACGAGCAGCGGTCGGAGGAAAAGTGTTTGATTTGTGGCTTTGGAGGAGAGCTGATCGTTTGCGAGTTCGTTGGCTGCACAAAGGTCTATCACCAGTTCTGTCTCGGTGCTTATCCATTTCCGAAGAATGAAGATGCGACGTGGCATTGCCCCCGACACACGTGTGCGCTGACCGGAGAGAAGGAAACGTGTGAAGATGGCGAAAAATTGACGACCAAGCTGAAACATCCATCTCCACGAAAACTCAGCGTCAAGAACATGCTGTGGAAATGCAACCAGTGCCCACTTGCCATATTGGACGGAGCACTGCCGCAGGTACATAACTTTTCACTTATTAGGGAGGATAGATGTTGACATTACACTGTTGTTTTGCATCGCTAGCTACCACAAGGGCAGGTTCTTTCCAAGAAGTCACGGACTTTTCTGTGTTCTAATTGCTACCTCAACGCGCCGTCTAAAGTCCAGCTTTCCAAACGACTAGAGAAGATCTGGTCGACGATAGCCACAAATCGACAGGGAATGCCGTTCTGTGGTCCCTTGTTGTGTGGAGTTGAGCCGGTGGATGGGCAGTCAAACGAATCTCGGACGCAGTTGGATTTATTCAAAGTGCTTGCGCGGATTCGTCGATTGGAATATGAAGACTCAGCGACTTTTTCGAGAGATATCGACGAAGTGGTGGCTAATGCTCTTGATCTTATCGCTAACCGCTCATATCCATTGATGGAGGCAGCAAAAACACTGAAAATCATCCGAAACGAGCAGTTTGGAATCCATCAGCAGAAACTGAACTTCTTGGACAGTAAAATCCGCCGCGTACTCGCTGATCGCGAGAGTGGGCGGGACAATGAAGATGACCTGGCCATCAAGAGGTGGCCGCTTCGATGGAGACAGGAGTGTGGTCCCTTTGAAGATAAGTACTATCCGCGCTTGGAAGCGAAGTCACTGGATGAGTGGACAGCTCTCGTTTCAGCAGCGCCTTTATACGCCAGCGCGGACGAATTTGACGGTCGAAGTCTTGTTGGAGCATACATGAGTGACGAAATGAGTGCAAGTGAAGATCCTCCACAGGGGCACTTTGGGTCAACGCGTAGTAGGAGCCCGTCATTAGGCTCCGCGAACGAGTTGTCCGACCCTCCAGCTGCAACACGGACGGAGTCAGGTCTTACGTTATCGGAAGGAACAGATGTGATGATTGCTCTGGGTGATCTGTCTAAGCCAGGGACTGGTATCCAGAAACGGAGATTTGGTGGCGAGCAGACGAAAGAATTGGACAGTATGGATGCTCGAGAGTTCTTCCTTTCTCCGTCTACTAGCGAGATGCAGCACATGTTCGACCAGCAGTCCACTCTTCTCCGTAGCGCATTAGAAGCGCACTCCACGTTGCAAAGATCGTGGCTCATCAGCCAGCAGGACATGTTGGGTCTAGGCGGGACTGGTGGATTCTCTGTGGGCGAAGGCCGACTTGCCGCTGAACTCCGACTAGCAAACAAGGTCAGTGTCCATTTGTTTGTTAGACAGAGTTGTGTTCCCCATTGACTTGCTCACTTGTGATGTCCAGAATTTGAGGCAACGACTGCGAAACAAGGACAAACTCGTTGATCAACTGACTTCGGATCACATGGCGCTACGAGCTGAGGTCATCAACTTACAGAGAGAACTCTCGCAAAGCAAGGTGAGGCGCAACATAGCAGTGTCGTAACAATCTTCGCTTAATTTTTTTACTTGCCGTGTAGTCTCATGCTCGCGAACTGGAAGATCGCATTGCCGTTGTGCAAGGGGCCCTTGAAGGGCGGATTGTGCCTCACCCCGAGAACCAAGATCCTGTCACGAATGGAGATGCCACTGCCACGCCTGATCGCAATACGGACGAGGAGCATTTATTCGAGTAGATCCAGTGTCAATTACGGCGATATATTACTGCTGGAGGTGGTTGTAGCGTCTGAGGATTCCGCATCGATGAGGAACGCAGTCGCAGGAGTAACCCGACGCAACCGAGTAAATGTGTAATCATGTGAACTGCAAAACCGTACGACACTGTCGCAGTAGCTCAGTGGTCTTACACTTTCGTTTATGAAATGCTCTATAGTGTGTTGCCCACTGGCGAATACATTGCGTGGAGGAAAACAAACATCTTGGATAGCTGCGTCTTACAAAGTTTCCGTGTAGCCAAACACAAGCTCGTGCTCTGTTGCGGACGCCGTCATGTTCCACATCCCGGACGAATAAATTGCTGGTTCCGTCAGTGGCATTAGGAGAAGAGAGAAACCATAAATGCCGAAGAAATAAGCCCCGAGGAGCACTATCACCACAAAATACACACATTTCAGATGTTGTCTCCATCATGAGCTATTCAGACGAAACGTACCTAATCGATAAGGATGCAACGAGCTCTCAGGGTTGAAAAACGAGAGGTCGGGGAACCCCATGACATTGCAGAATACGTGCACGAGAAAAATTGACGCGAAGTGCCCTGCACAGAAACACAAAGGTTTGTCAACGAGAAAAAACAATGAGCGAGAAAAAGTGGAAAGTTTCTCACCTGTTCTCAAGAAAATGAAGGTAGCGTAGGCTCCAAACAAGGAGGTGTACAGGAGCTGGAAGCCTGGATCAATAATATGTTAGACACAGGCCCACCCCAGTATTAATATAATCAACGACATTACGTACCAACAGTCAACGCCGCGTCCTTAGGAGACCGTCCGTGCCGAACGTACTCCAGGAAGTGATGCAAGTGTGCTAACCGGACGAAACAGCATTAGAAAAGCGTTAAATTCCAAGTCCACGCTCAATATAGCCGTTGCAATGCCACACCTGCTCCAAACATCAGCGGACTGCCCAGTATAATCTGCTTGACAGTGAATTCAGCGCACACGAGTAGTGGAACCATGCAGCTCCGAAACACAAACTCCTCGGTCAGTGGACCCTGCAGACGAAATCATCCAAAACAGTCAGCATTTCCTTCCGCGACCACCGTCCTTACAATATCATCCACATACCAATACATAAGTGCGCAACGATGGTAGACGGTCGTGCGTGATGGAGTAATACAGCGCCGAGTTCTTGATTGCGAACCACAATCCGTTCGAGTGGAACTGCTTCGACACGTTGAGCAACCGCAATGCGTTGGCCAACAATGAGCCTGTGAAGAGCACAGCAGTCACAAACAGCGGGATCACGACTGCTTGCACCAGGCCTTCCGACCGAATACCAAGCCACTGCGCGAACGACATGCTGGCTTCATCCTGCAGCACGCAACAGCAGCGTTTCGTTAGCCCTTCGCCTCTTTCTAAGCTACAAAATCGATTCGTATGCATACGTGGTCATAGAAAACTGCCAGCACGAACGGACAGATAGCGCAGAAAATGCAGATGAGCAGGAAGCGTGCGAGAATCTGCAACAAAAGACACAGAGCAAGAGTAAGAGGCTGATAACTTCGTTGCAACGACAACAATTGTGGCACGGACGTGGGTGGGGTGGTCGCGTGGAAGCCGCCGGATCGCTTGGGGCAGCGTGTACAGCACACCGACATAGGCTGCAGCCATGCAGGAGCACGCGATGACGGCCGTTGTGGCGGTGACGCTGAATCGCATCTTTCACGCCGGCTGGTGTCGAGTGTGCAAATAAAGTGGCAGATTATGATTGGCTCATTGTTTCGTCGTGTTTTCGGCGAATGAAAATACGTTTGGGTACATGTGGTGTGTCGCCAAAAGAACCCAACTTCCAACCAATTTATTGACAAGCTACCGAGATGGCGGACACTCACATGACAGAGCCCGAGGAGACGGAGATCGAGGTCATCACGGCCGACGAGACCACGCAGGAGTTCGACATTGGCGAGGCCCCGCAAGGTGCTATATAATATCCGGATAGCAGCGCTGTTGGTGATCAGAGACGCTGATGGACTGTTTTCGGTATATCTGCTCAGATGACGACGACGACGCCATGGAAGACGAAGACAACGAGGGCAAGATTTCTGCTGAGGATGCTGACGTACGCGACGACGCCGAGATGGTAGGGATATTTCTGGTTAGAATTGGGTGGAATGAGACTGTTAATGTGATGGCTACATCCACTCGCAGGTCTTCAACAAGCACTCGGGCCCGGTCTACTCGATCAAGGTGAATCCGGTGGATCCGCGTATCGTCATCACGGGCGGAGGTGACGACGTGGGAGTCATCTGGAATCGTGAGGACGGTAATGTACTGTACACGCTGTCGGGCCACCAGGACTCGGTGGTAAGTGTCGACTTCAGCTTCGACGGCAAGTACGCAGCTACTGGTGGATACGACGGTGTGGTCAAGGTCTGGGAAGTCGCTACAGGCAACCTGGTGCAGAACTTGGAGGGCCCTTCGCAAGAGGTCGAGTGGGTTTGCTGGCACAAGAAGGGCAACGTGGTGCTCGCTGGATCGGGCGACGGTACTGTTTGGATGTGGCTCGCGACAACTGGGGAGTGCATGCACGTGTTTGCTGGACACGAGGATGGTGTTACGTGCGGTTCATTTACGGGATCTGGAAAGGTACGCTGGAAGCTGCTATGTTATTATTTGTAGAATACTTATGCATATTTTCTCTTTGTGTTGTGAAGATGATCGTGACAGGTAGTACGGACACCACTGTGCGTGTGTGGAATCCGAAGACTGGCGAATGCAACCATGTTTTCCGAGGGTGCGTTAACGCGCTTAATTATCTGAAAGCTGGATTAATTCCTAACGAAGCGTTGTGATCAAACAGACACGACTTCCATGAGGGCCCAGTGACATTCATCGCCTGCCACCCAACCGTACGCTCCGAAAAAATATTGCTTGTAAATTCTTGCTGATTGTGAATGATATGTATAATAGCAACCGCTGGCTCTTTCTGGCTCGCAAGATGGCACTGCTCGCCTTATTCAAGTGCAGACGAAGCGTGTGCTCGCTACGCTCTCGCACGATGGCGTTGACCCGAGCGTCGCCGGAACTGTCAATGATACAACGACTTCAACGGAGAACTCGGCGGAGTGGTACGTGAAACTATTCACATTATTTAGCCCCACGTTCTTTTTTGCTGACGTGGATGTGCTCGATTGCAGCGGAGGATTTTGTAACACAATGAACTGGGCGGCAACGGGTTGTCTCGGCGGATACCTGCGCATCTGGGACTTGACGACGTACCAGGTAAATGGAGTGCCGAAATATCTATTCCTCATCGTGTATGTACTGACAACTTGCTTCATTATTGTCCAGTGCCGTCATGTTTGCCGTCACCCTGCTGGTGTGATCAAGCTTTTGTGGCACCCGACGCAGCCGATCGTGTACTCGTGCACGGTGGAAGGTCTGATCTACGTTTGGGATGCCCGGACAGGACTGCTCTTGAAGACGCTGGCTGGCCACACGGATATGGTGCTCGACATGACTTTCATTCCTGCGTTCGAAGGCAACCCGATCGCTGGACTTCTTACGGCCAGCGACGACGAGTCCGTGCGGCTCTTTCGGGTGGACAACTAGGCAGTAGCAGAATTAAAAAAGAATCGAAACACGGTCGTTTTGCCTGAACATTTTCACGTCGCAGTGATTCAACTTCGATCCGTAGCGGGGGTACCAAGGGTGGAATGCTCAAATGCTGTGTATGAAATGAATTGCATATACTGCAGATCTCTACTACGCGAATGTGAAACTAACCGTGCGCTCGATTACATCGACGTGGAGTTACGCCTCATACAATCTGCAATAATCGACAACAAAATCACATAAGACGATAGTTAAAACAAAACAATTAACAAGCCAAACGTACACTTCGTTCTGGAAACTGGAGCCACTGGCCGCAGCATCGGCATGCGACTGGTACTTGAGCGTTTCGTTCTTGCCAAGGTCAACAAGAGCCTGGCGGAAACCCCGCCCAATGGCCTTCTGGCGGTCCTCAGCGCTGGCTGTTGCACTCCAAATGGCGATGCGGTCCTGCGCCTTTCGCACACTAACTACAGCGCCACAGATGTCGTCCTCGTCCTGCAGCGTCTCGCCAATCAGCGAAAGCATCTAAAATACCAAAAAACCATATCGCCGTATTAGTATCGAAGTCAAATAAAACCCACAATGTTCTGCTTGCAACGCACCACGTAGAGCCAGCACTCATCTAGTCGCGCTTTTCGGGAGCGAGGATTAGTGAAAATCCACTTGCCGCCCTTGGCGTTGACCGGGTCCTCCCACATGGGCCGGATGCCCTCCTTAAACAAGTGGTAATTGCTGCCAATTGAGAGCTTCGTGGGCGTCAGGATGTTGTTGTACAGGCTGCACCATGCGCAAAATAGCCATTCCAGTCAACACTCGCCACATAAATGCCTGCAGTCGCAATGCCAGCAAGCTTCAATCTACGTACCACCAAAAGTCCTCCACGGTGTTGAACGTGTAAACATTCTTGAGGTTTTCCTCCCATGACTCAGTTGAGTGGCGCTTCTTCGGGTTGTCGTACCACAACACCCATCGGTTCTGCAGCGGGTGCTGTTCACACCAACAAAACGGCGTCAGTTGTCTAGAAACTCTCTACAATTTCTCCATGGCATTGTTTTTAAATCACCTTTGTGGCCACTTCGTTCACAGTTGCAGGAACAGCGACTGTCGTGTCCTGCACCGCCTTCTTCTCCTCCACCACTGGCTGCTGGTTCTCCTTCACGTTCTTCTGCTCACTCATATTGCTGCTATGCTGTGTATGTAGACTAGTGTGTAGGTAGTTGGTTTGTTGGTGTCGTTGCTGCTGCGATTCGTGCTGCTGCGTTCCTGGCGTCAAGAGCTCTCGGGGCTATTGACCTGTTCTGATGGTGATTGTTGAGGCTCTCCCTCGCCGGTGTTTTGGTTGGCTCAAAAAGGGATGATAGTACTGAGTATTTCATCATATAACGAACACTTTATAAGGCATAACCAATCACATTCAATGGTGAGTGTATCCGAGTGATAGTCAACTTCACTTGATTTTTGTAAGGTCGGAAGTTTCCCTTTTGCTTCAACAACCGACATTCCGCATTCCGCAACTAGTCGCCACCATGCCGAGTGAGTATGAGGACAAATATCTCTTGTTGCGAGACGAGAACACGGCGCTTAAGAAGAAGAAAAATGAGCAGGAGGCTACCATCAAACGCATGTATACAAAGCTGGCGATGATCGAAGAGAAGCTCTCCAAGACGCGGCAGGGCGAGGGCAAAAAGAACAATCAAGACGATCCCGACACGGGCGGCAACAAGGTTGCCGTTGTCCCTGTGCGACGAGATCTCGACACGGAGAAGTTCATTGCTGCGCTGAAAAGCGAAAACGCCACACTGAGGAAGAAAAATCAGACGCTAATGGAGAAGAACCGATGGCTGGAGGAGCAATGTCGACAGTTGAATGTCATGAAGCGGCTAGGAGGAGGTGCGCGACCGACAAAGCATAAGAAAGCTGTTGCTCGGAACACAACAGCTAATAAGGGAGGTTTCGAAGGGAGCAGCCTTGAAAAGCAGACTGAAAGTGCACGGAAACTGCATCGCGACACGTTTTCGGGGGATCTCGAGGTGGCGCTAAAGAAGCGGTTAGTTATTGCAGAGAAACAGCTTGTGAAGTTACAGAAAGAAAACGAGCAACTGCGGGCGAGTAGTAGCAGGCAGCTGAAGCCGAGACGAGATAACAACGACGGATCGGGGCCGAGCGATGAAGAAGATGAAAAGGAGCAAGACGAATGTACCAAAGAACCCACGAATCTGGAGCTAGACCAGATGAAAAGGGAGTTGCGGGATCGCCAAGCGCAACTTGCAATTCTGAATGCTAGATATGAAAATTTAGAGTCGAACGCACTCGCAGAACGTGAAATTCAGGAGAAAACACTAGAACAAATGGAACAGATGAATCGTCAAGTACACAAGCTCCGAACACAGTTACAGGACGCTGTCGCGGAAAAGGAAGAGTTGGAAATTCGAATTATGAAGGCCGGTGATCACGAGAAAGATATTGCTCTTCTACGAGAGCAAAATCGGCGCTTGGAAGAACGCATGACCTCGCTCTGTGAAAGTCCGTTTATCAATGATGCTTTTCAGAGGAAGGAGCGTATTGACAAGCTGTTTAACTTAGAAAAACTAACACAGGAGCAAAAGGCGACTATTGCTCAAATGACTGAAGAGAATCAGAAATTTCAAGGTGTCATTCGAGAGCTACAGAGCACTGTCAAGCAGTTGAAGCAGGCGAAAGATCGAGTTGAGCAAGATCTTGCTCAAATGGCGCAACATTTGATGGAGGAGAGAAATGCAAGAAGCCTCGACGCCATCAAGTCAACTGGAAATGTACCGATGCCAACACAGCGGACAGAACCGATCGTGATTGTCCGCCCGCGAACACCTGATCCACAGCACCATCCTCCTGAAAAACGGGATGCTTGCTCTTCCCCAGTGAGCAAAAGTACATCACCAGGCAAATTATCTGCTCCTTCAGCGAACGTGTATGCAATTTTTACTATCCGATACATGGCTTCATTCAACATCGCTAACACTAATATTGTGTTTGTGTGGCGTTTGTTTAATTCAGGGGTGGAGGGGTAGTAAGCCGAAAGTACGGAGATCTTCCGTCAGCTGCTAGCTTCCTCGATGCAGAAGAGGACAGCAGCGTGAAACACTTGCGAAATCGTGTTCACGTCCTTCAGATCGCTCACTTGAAGTCAATGCAGGAGTTGGAGCGTTGTGAGAAAATGTTGCAAGCTCAAACGAACATCAATCGGGAACTCGCTTTGGAGATTGAGGAGCTGACGACGTCAAAGATTTCAAGCTCAAATCAACTTCAACGTCGAATGAAAGAACTTGAGCTACTATGTGAAGAGCGACAACAACGAATTCACGCCCTTCAAGCAGAAGTTAGACAGCTGAAATACGCTCGAGAGAAGATGCTTTTGAAGATGCGAGAGGCTGACGATGAATGCTCTGAGGAATCATCAAGTGATGGAGAAGGGAGCGAGGTAGCATCATTGTCGGAATCCTTGATCTTAGCGGCGAGGGATCTAGCTCCCGGTGAACAACTTCTTGAATTGGGAATTATAAGCGGAGACTTCGATAGCAGTGTGATCGGGGTTAACTCCTCCACTTTTGTACTGTGCGATTTTTACGATTTCGAGTCGCAGTCAACGCCACTTCTCATGGGAAGTCGACCGGAATACAATTTATCAGCTACATTCAAAGTGACGGTGGACGGCTTTTTCTTACGATATTTGGCTTCAGAGTCCGTATTTCTGGAAGTACATCAAGCTATTCGAGGGGACTTCAAGCTGGTTGGTAAAACATCAGTTCGTCTTTCTAAGCTGCTACAGTCAAAGGGGGTTGTAAAAGAACCCAAACTTGCGATTAAATCGCTGTATGACATTGACGGTGATTCGACAACCTTAGGAACATTGAACGTGATTCTAAGGCTTTCCACCCCAATCTCGGAAATTTGGCAAGTTCATCTTCGCTCTTACCCTCAAGATGTCAGGTTTCTTTCGACTCTAGGAAAGCAAAGCGAAACACAAATTCCATCAGATGTACTATGTGATCAAAACTTCCGTGACGATGCAATGACAAACGAATTGCAGATTACGGTATTTGCTTGCAGGAAGTTGCGTTCTTATGGAAAGCGCTCTGATGGATCAATATCTCGAGTACCGTCATCGTACGCTCACTATCAATTGCTTGGGTTTCCAGACGTTTTTACGAATATCGTGGCTAAATCAGCTAACCCAGAATTCGACTTAAGCAACAGCCGACAAGCGTTTGCTTTGGAAGTGGATGCATGCCTTCTTCGGTTCTTGTCCCAATTTCGCTTGTGGGTAACTGTATTTGATGATCAAGTCGAGCTTGATGATAATGCACAAGAAGACGGGGTGATTGGGAGGTGCGGGATTATGCTTTCCGATCTTGTAAATGGCGAAGACATTCGAGGATGGTTCCCGTTAAAAGATCAAAACGATCAACACGCTGGGGATATTTCCGTGTTAATTCAGTGGAAAGACCCATTTCAGGTACTACAACTGACATCTTCGCAACGTGCACGCGGAGTAAATGGACGTCTAATCGACATGCATTCACTCGATTTTGATCAGCAACACGCATTATTGTCGATGTTTTCATCTGACATGGATGGACGAATGAACTACCAGCAATTCTTGCACTATGCTATCCCATCCGAAGAACTGGAGCTACTCGTTGCAAAACTGAAAGAGCGGCTCGAATATGCGGTGGACTCGGAACTTATAACGTCTGCTAAAGATGCTCTCACTGCAGGAATGGAGGCGAGAGAGCGAAAAAGTATGCTTATCTCCATGGGCTCCATGGTACAAACCTGTGAGAAGTACGGGATTTTCCTCACCGATGGAGAACGAAATCTTTTACTATCGACGTTTGGAGTTGGCAGCACTTCGACAGAAAGTATCTCAACTGTGGGTGGAGGTTCTGAAAAGACTTCGGGGAACCACCCGAAATTGATAGCTATTAATTATTTGCTACTCCATATTAATCCTCGACTCAGCTGTATCGAACGGCTGCTATGTCACAAAATTCGACAAACGATGCATGGATATGTTCAAGAACAAAGGAAACGAAAGACAGCAGATGCTATGCCTGCTCCTAAACTATTCGAGAAGTTTGATGAAACAAGATGTGGCAGAGTCACTCGATCAGCGTTCAGAAAATGTTTATCTGCGTTGGGATTTGACTTGATGAGTGTTGAGTCCGAGTACCGTGAACTAGTCAGACACCATACCAAACAATCCCGTTCAACTGACACTCCAAACGAACCCATTGCCGACGGCAATGATACGGCAATCCTACCTCTAGACCGCGTTGACCTGGATGAAGATGTACTAGAGGATGCTAAAGCTACGCAACAGCCAAAGCAACTGGCTGCTTTTAATGATGACGAAAAAAAGGTCACCAGGATATCGACGCAAAACGATCCAGGTTATGCTGCAAAACCTGTTCCAGCCACAACAGAATTCCAGAGACGAAAACAAGCTTTTATGGATCGTATGAAAGCAATTGCCTCTGCAAGTAGTAAGAACTTGGTATACGAACAAGTGGAGAAAAAATTACAGGTTCAGCGGGTTCAGGAAAAAGAACGAGGGTTTAAAGTATTATCGCAGCAGGAGCGGCTTGTGCAGCAAGCAAAACAGCTCCACATTCCACAGAATATCCATCATGATGCTGCACGGACGCTTCAAAAACAATACCGTCAGTATAAAGAACAACGACAACAACAACAAGAAGCGAACTATGCGAAGACAACAATTATCGAAGCAGATCTCCAGCTACAAAGCGTTTTAGGTAAATGGACCTTTGCTGAACTTAGAGATCAAGAAGACAGCATTCTAGCTGAAATCGAACGTGACGTACCGGATGTAAAACGCTCCAGACTGCTTACGAAGAAGCAGCTGGGCTACTTCCTCTCTAAAGTCCCTCGAATCGTGTTACCTCCTGCATTACTGTGGTATCTTATGGACTATTTTTCTGTGAAGGAAACTGGGATGGTAGCGTTCCGATCTCTTCTCAATCTCATCTTCTCTACGTCCACTGAAGAACGTGAGCTGGAAAAGAAGCAGCGTTTGTCGGTGCTTCGACACCTACTCTTCGATGTTGGTTATGCATCTCACACTTTTGTTTTAACTGGAGACATGAAAGAAACAGGATATATTTCCTTTAAAGAGTTTCACGAAAGCCTGTCCAGACTTGGAGTCCAGCTAACCTCCAAGGAACTGCATCTTGTGACTATTATGTTTGACGCAAACGGCTACAAGATTATGTACCATGCTCTTCTTCAGATTCTGACACAGCTACCACATTGTCAACAGTTAGCGGAAGTTTTGGAACGATGTCATCGTTTTGGTATATCTTCGTTACGTGACAAAATTCTGACTTTTGTGAAATCTGACGATGGCCGAATGACTCAGGAAGAACTGCTTCGAGTTCTAATGCAACCGAGTTCGGAGGGTACACAGTTTGAACCTAAGGACGCTAGCTTACTCTTCGAGATGGTTGGAGGCAATAACGACCCAACCAAGAGGATTTCGATCCAGGATCTCTGCCTACGACTCGAAGCAGCAGCAAAATACAGTCGAAAGTCGATATCCGATGACTGGAACAAGTACGATATGCAATACCTGCAGCGGTTAGCCTGGAACTGCAGAAAACTCATATGTGGTAGCTATTCCGACTTGAAATATGAGTTTGAACGATTTGACTGGCAGGAGAAGGGATTTGTTTCTTTGGCAGAGTTTGTCACGATCGCACGTCGAAATGGTTTCTTACTGTTCACTGAAAACCAACTGAAAGGCATAGCGAAGAGCTTCGGTGTGAAAACAAATGGATCGTTCGGTATCAACTATCGACAGTTTTTGGATTGGACTACACCACCCCCACCCGTCGACATGGATGCTGTGGAGAAAAAGCTTCGCAAGTGTGCACATGAGCAAGCTAATAAGTTACCGAGCAGACAGCTTTCTGAAGTGTTTGCTACTTGGAACCAAATTTTCTTGACGGAGAAAGAAACAACGTCGGAGGGGGTAATAAGTCGATCAACTTTCGTGAAGATCTGCAACACTCGCCTGAGTATCCCACTTGACGAACATGAGATGCGCACATTACTTTACACATACGATCCTGAACTAAAAGATCAAATTGACTGCAGTGCTTTTCTCAAAATGAACTGGCGGGAAGCCATGATCACATACAATAAACGAGCACAGGTAATCAGTGAGGTTGCAAAAGCGAAACTCGTAGTGACCAAGATTGGTGAGAAACTTCAAGAGCAAAAAGATGTTCCAAGGCAGATTACAGAGGCTTTCTCGTATACTGGAGACTCGAATAGCGCATTGGTGGAATCTGGTCAGTTCATCCTAGCGATGCGAAAACTGTGGATCTCTTTGTCACCGGACGAAGTACATTCTCTCTTTGTCGTATTTGGTGAGCAGCCAGATAAGAAAAAGATAAATTTCGTGAAGTTCTTTAAGGACTCCCTCGAACTACCCGTGTTCAGCTCTTCAGAAGTAAAGCCGAACTATCAGCTTTCGGTCGAAAATGAAAAACAATTGAGAAGTGCATTAGAAGCTGCTGTGAAATTCTCACTGCACAAATTCCAGCAGTGCTTTGTACAGTTTCAAGAGTTTTGTGTGCTTCACCGTTTTGCTGAAATCGCCCCATCGAAGTTGTGGCGTCAGATGGAAGCAAATGGCTTGATTGAGTTGTTGTCAAAGAAAGCTGCTGGGCTGCTTTCGCAGAAATTCTTGACTACATTTTACGATGATGATGGTGATGTAAGCTTCAGCGTATCCTTGAAGGCCGTTCATACGTATCTTAAGGACGTTTCGACAAATGCACCGGTTAAAGCCTCTCAAAAGCAAGAAACGCGTGAGTTAGTAGAAACGACAGTACAATCAAGAGCACCAAAAGCACCTATCGAAACTCTTTCAGAATTCCTCGACTCGTGTGACGAACGTGGAATTGATTTACGGGGAGAGCTTGAAGCTCGTGACAGTACGTACACGGGATACGTGACAGCAATGGAGCTGAAAGAGATTCTAATACGTATGGGCATCGCAAAAGCTGCCTTTCCTTCGTCTGCAGAGGCAGTGATAGGACAGCTTGTCCGTCAATTCCGAAGCACCGAAACAACCGATGCGGTACATTATACAGTGATGCTGTACGAGGCTACCAAATTCGAGTGGCCTGGTACCGATTCTCGCTTTGATAAAATTACTGAGAACTTGCGATCACGAATTCGTTTGAAAGCCAACCTCTCGGGTCAAATTGATCATTCAGATACAACAAACTATGCCAGATTGGATGCTGCTTTTAATCATTTCGACCGAGAGAAGAAGGGATTCTTGACAGCGGATAGTATATGTAATGGTCTGCGGGCACTAGACTACAACCTTTATCCTTCACAACTCAGCGTCGTCATGCTCAACTTGTGCATCTTCCGCCATGGCGGAGGTGGATTGTCACGAACTGAGTTCGACTCCTTCGTGCTAGATCCTTACGCTGGCTGTCTGCTGAAAAAGATATCCGATAGGCTTTACTCTGAAGTCCAATCTCAGAAGCAAGACGCAATGCCTCGAGTTGCATATTTGAGTCGGCTCCTGATGGAATGTGGTGGATTTAGCCACCAAAGCAGCCTTTCAGCGGAAACATTTTGGTCACAACTGGAGCGAGCGCTAGAGCGACAAGTGACGACACTGGAAAAACTACGACTGCAACATCTTTTCGATGTGGGGCGGGACGGCAACATTGCCTTTAAGCTTTTCCTCAAGGTAATGTCTCAATGGCGAAATCTACCCAGTGCAGCAGCCTCTGTATTTTTACGGAATAGCAACCTGGCTGAAAAGGGTATCCCAGAGCTACAAGCTGCAACCAAACCGGAGAAGCTGCCGTATCCTCAAGAAAATGCCGCGAAAGACAAACCACCTTGCGCGCGCAATGCCATTCTTCGATCGCTGTTCAACCAAATGTCATCAATTGACTTTAACTCACAACTCGACATAGTGGAGGAGTACTTGAGACTGAAGGATCACGAGCAGACAGGTAGCATCAAAATGAAGCAGTTGAAGCGAATCTTCGACCAAATTGGACTGTCATTGTCAGCAGATGCCTTCACAAGTTTGCAACTATACTATCCAGGTGTTGCCTCACCAAGCACAAAAGAACATGGAGAACTTGTAGCTTACCAGAAACTCCTATTAGCACTAGAAGCATTTCATGAGAAGAGCGGCGAACATGAGGAAAGATAAGCATAACCACTTGCAACAAAGCTACTGAATTTGTAAACAATCATGATTCTGCTGAGTCACCATCGGCACCCACGAGTTCCTTTTCCATGATCTTGATACGGTGAAGAACGCGTGCAGCGTCCAACCGACGATTCGATGAGAGCAGCTTTGACATCAGAATACGGTCTTCAGCAATGCGTTTGTGCAGACGCTCGACATACATTTCCAATGTCAATTTGCCCGTCTGCATCTCGATCTCCAGCAACTGTTTCTTTAACGCGAGAGAATCGTATCGGTCGTTCAGCTCAATCGTAGCCGGTCCTGTTAAGGATGGTAGTTTTGTCCCCACCTTCTCGAGCTGCCATGATAAAATATGTCAGAAACTGTACGACGAATATCTGTAGCATCCCTTACCTCTTCGTTGATAACATCGTAGCTCACAATCAGATCAAGATGGTGCGGATCGTCCAGCTCAGCAGTGGTAGAAGCTGGTTGGTCCTCTTTCATCATTGAACGAGAACTGTCGGAATTTGGTGCCGCATTTTTGCTGGATAGGCTGTTGGCTTCGGTTGGGGATGGCTCTAATGTCACACTTGGCATGGTAAGATGCTCCGAAGTAGAGACCATCGGCTCGGGATAGTCGCCGATGACCAGATCCTCGACAGCCTCCTGGCGAAACTCTTTCTCCTTGAGCAGACGACGCATTTGAATAGCAACCTGTGGCACATGTCATTTATTCCATTAGGTATAATGGAAAACATTATTTCGTAATAATACCAGCAAATACCTCGATATCTCCTCCACAGGGCTTTCGGTTTGATCCGAGGAAAGGAAGCTGAGTGTTTATTTCACAACACGTCAGTAGAGGTGTCTATGGTGGGAAATACGAAAGACGCGTTAGGGAATGACATTCAGTATTGATCGCAAGCAACCCTTACCAATTCTTGATATGTTCGGGCAACAAGTTCGGGGTTGCGGAACAACGTTCCCGACTTCCAAACTTCGAAAACGGCCTTCTTTATCTCAAAAAGACGCATAGTTCCACGTGATCTTGCCAGCTTGAACACAAATTCTGTCTGGCCAGAAGAGATCTTCGTTGCAAATGGAGCGTTTGGGTTGATCTGGAATTCCGCAGTCTGTCCCTCATGCGGTGTCGTGGATGGGAAATTGAGGCAGAATTTGACAAACACAGATTTACCCGCCACCTGGGACAACCCACTTACACTTTTAACGGAGACCTTAACCAGGTCATCTGCAATGAACGGCAGCTCATATTCCACTTGACGAGAGGTTTTTACGATTTCGTAGCGAGGCGGCAACTGCAGCGGGTTTTGCCTGCTTTGTCGTAGTTTTTCCAGCTCGGCACCATAATGCTTTCGCTGTTCATAACAACATGGAAAAATCAAGGTTAGACACCTTCTACCACAGCAGAATCCTCAGGGTATGCTTACCTTAGCCAACCACTCCGATGCCTTTTCCCGATTAATCGACAGATTTTCCTTTGCTAGTGTCATCGCTCGGTTACCGAAATCAACCAGCAACTGCTCGAGCTCCTGAAATTTGGCAGTGGTTGCGGAGTTCTGTGCTGAGCCCAAAGTGGCTGCAGGGTTTTCGCTGGCGTGTTGCTTTAGGTCAATGAGGTTTTGAATCTGTTTCGCTCGTCGCATCGATTCGAGCGCACCTTGAATGTCACCTTTTCGCTTCAGAGATAGCGCGCTCTGTTTTGCTTTCTGTAGCTCTGCAGCGAGATCAGCAATATGGGTATCTCCCCCCTCAGCCTTAGCATTCCCGTACTCAACAGGTACTGCAGCTTTTCCCACCTCTGGTACAGAAGAAACTGAATGCAGTGACCCACTCGACATCACGGTCGTAAGATGATTCGTCTCCCCCTCGGAATCGGACTTATCATCGAACGCGTCGATAAGGTAATCTTCGTCAATCGATGGGGCAGCTTTCAGCAACCGTGAGCTCGGTGGAGTTGGTTTGGACGCAACATGCAGTGAAGCAGCTACAGCGGTTGTAATGGCTATCGAGGTATCTTGAGGTGTTGGTGCAATCGAGATAGAGTCATCACCACCTAGCTTCTGTAATTCTGCCGCAAAAGCTGGATCGTTCATGTCTTCAGCAGTTACTTCGACGTCCGAAATGCTGTCGTTGTCGCTGTCAGCTTGGCTCTCGTCGAGGGGAAATGCACTCGCGTTCAGACGTACCGACGTAGTGCTGCTCACTGCAACAGAATGATAGACAGACTCAGCGACTGCTGGAGCTGTAGACTGCTGAACTACTGACGTCTGGTTAGCTACCGCTGGTGACGATCGCAGTTCATCTCGTTTCGCTTCAAGCTCCTTAATCTTCCGCATGCAGGCTAGTGCGTCAGCAATCTGATTCTGTCTTTTGAGTTGCACAGCTTGTAGTTTACATTCCTGTATTTGCGCTTCTATTGCTGATAACTGCTGCATAACATCATGATACTGGGCGGATGCCGTAGCACCAGAATCTCCATCATTCTCTGTCAGACCCATTTTCGCTAACTGTGCAAGAAACTCGGGATCCTGCATGTCCTCGTCGGTAACTTCGACATCATGGTCGCCATCATCTAGGATAGTATCCATCGGCGCTCGTACATTTGTTTCCGTTCTCTCATTCTGTACAGTTCGAGCTACGTCACTCGAAGTTTTACTCGCATTCTCCTGTGCTGAAGAAAACTGTTCCTGGAGCTGCTTGGCCTCTCGAAATTTTGCTAGCGCCTCTTGAATCCTCCCCTCTCTTTTGAGCGCCAGTGCCTCCATCTTTAAAGCGTGTACCAGCGCAGCTCTCTGCGGCTTCAATGCCGCTGCATTCTCACCTTTACTAGGTCCTTTAGCGGGCGTCTTTCCGCTTATCTCGGCTGTCTCCCTATTGTGATTCTCCCTCGCTGTCTGATGGACCCCGTCCAGCACCCCACGCAGCTCGTTCTTCGCTGCTCGATGAGCATCATTCTCGCCCTCATCGCCACTCAGGTTGATTCCATCCAGCTGCAAGTCTCTCAAGATCTTGGCTTCGTCGTCATCCTCATCGTCACCTCCAGCCCCGAATAGAATACTTTCCTCCGTCGGACTCGTACCGGTGGCGCCCGTAGCCGCCAATAGCGCCTGGAACTCCGCCTGCACATCCGCGTCATTCACTGGTTTGATGCCAAACTGCTTCTGCAGCTTCGCCAGATCGTCTGTTTCATCCTCCTGCGCCTCTTTCGCGCGACTGCGGCGCCAGAACATCACGGCGTTAGCTTGATTTTTGGCCTAGTGATACAATCGTTGCGATACAATACCCGCTTGAGTGACATGGATACAAAATAACTTCAACATGTTGAAAAAAATGTTGATGCATTAATCGAGTGCTGCATCGCCAACGGTGGACACTTATTACTATTCCCACGCTCTTGAAACCTTCCGTCGCTTTCGATCTCCACTATTGTCCGCTGAGGCTTGTTCTGCTCGCTCCAAGGCGTCCAAAGTGTCGTCTAAATTCTGCTTCCTCTGCCTGGAACGCACTGCCTGAGCGATAGCTGACGCTTCATCTTCGTCGGATTCTTCTTCACTGGAGCTCACGTTTCCATTGACAGCGACAAATCCGGCAGCTCCAAGAGCGCGTTTGCTTCCACCTCGAACGACCACGGACTTGGTCTGTTCAGGTACGTAGGATCCTCTCAGTCCGTTTATCAAATTATCACGCCGCGTGTCTCCTGTCCGCATTTTCTTCTCAGTGAACGACCCACGAGCCTTGATTGTTTTTATTGACTGTTGGTAAAATCCTTCCGTGCGCTTGTCAATCACAGGCTTCTCCTCAAAGCGAAACAAGTTGAGTTTTGGGTTGCATACATCGCATGCTCCCTTGCAATCCGTCACTGCCATCTTCTGCCCAAAGTACCGCAATAAAGCTTGACGCCGGCACTCTTTCTTAGTAGCAAACACCTTGACATGCTCCAATAGCTTCAAGGCATGCGCAACGCTGTCCACATTCTTCGAGCGTATCTTTTTCTGCCCTGCTGCTGGCGTAGCATTATCGGGCTGCTTCAAGGCTTCTTTCTCCAGTAGAAAGCGAAATAAAGCGTAATCACGGGCGGAGTAGAGCAGCACACTCTGACTTGGTTCTCCATCTCGACCAGCTCGTCCTGATTCTTGATAAAAGTTCTCTAATGATTTCGGAATATTCCAGTGCACAACGAAGCGAACATTTGGGTGGTCGATACCCATTCCAAAAGCAATCGTCGCACATACAATTTGTATCTCCCCACTTAACCACTTTTGCAACGTAGCTTCTCGTTCTTGCTGGGGGATTTTAGCGTGGAATGCGGCAACCTTCAACAGTGGGTCTCGCTTTCGCATCGAGAGTACCAAATCATCTGTATCGCTGCGCTTGTGGACATACACAACACCACACGAATTGGTATGATCTTTCTTGATATAGCGACATAATGCACCCACCGGGTCCGCCAACATCTCCTTGTCGTACACCGTATACGAGATGTTTGCGCGGTTGAAATCTGCCAAAAGGACATCGGACCCATTAGCTGCAAAATGCAATTGTTTCGTGATATCGTCACGCACACGTTCGGTAGCAGTAGCGGTAAGAGCAATCACCGGTATTTTAGGGAACAACTTTCTCAGCTTTCCCAAATTCTGATATGCCGGTCGGAAATCGTGACCCCAGGAGCTGATGCAGTGAGCCTCGTCGATGGCGAATAATGCGAGACCCCCTCGTTTCTGCAATTGCTGCAGTAGAAGCTGCATCTGCTCGCCCTGTAGCGTCTCGGGCGTCGTGTAAAGCATCTCGACTCGCTCATCCTCAACGTTCTGAGTTGCAGTTTCGAACTGTTTCAGCAGTCGAGCTACAATTCGTTCTCGTTGTGACTGAGCCACCAAGGACGAAAACATTTCCACTCCAATATGCTTTTTGCGCAGAGAAGCTACTTGGTCCTGCATCAGAGCCAACAACGGACTCACCACTACAACGAGGCCGGGTAGCAGTAGCGCCGGCAGCTGATAGCAAAGCGACTTGCCTCCACCAGTGGGCATCAGCACCAACGTGTCCTTCCCAGACAGAACACGCCGCAGAGCAGCGCCCTGAAGACCTCGTAGTGTCGAGAAACCAAGCCGCTGTAAAGCTGCGCGGATTTTGGCGAGACGAGCTTGTTGGCGCTGCACTTTAGCATCCGCCATGAAGCCATAGAATGCAAGACTTGAAATGAAATGACCAACTTTTAAAAGGAAGTGAAAAAATAAATATTACTACATGTATTACATTAAATTACGGTATTACTATAATATATTACTGTAGTGTACTTTTGTGAAAAACGAGCAAAGGATCACCTTGAAAATGGTGCGCAAGCCGTCGCGCTTGCCTCCAGGGCAGCAGTCAGTGGAGGAAGTTCTACTTAACCGTTTGGCGAATGGAGAAAGCGCCACACCCACGACCCGCTCCTCTACTGCGCAGCCCCCTTTCGACGCAACTCGACGTTCTCAGACATCGACGGCACCACGAGGAACTATCGCCGATCGGAGTGCGTTCTCTCTATTGTGCTCTGAAGCTATTGCATGCATTCTGATATTGTTGATTTTGTCAACACTGCTACACTCCAACAGGTTGGTCGGGTAGCAGTCGTGCAGCAGCCCACGTGTCTACAGCCCCGGCTGGAATTGAGTCGAAGTCAACTGTAGGAGCGCCGCCACCCATGTCGATGGAGTTTATGCAGCAAATGTCAAGTGAGATTGCAAACCTCGACCAGCGTTTGCAGCGCGTAGCAACGAATTTGGCCTTAGCTCCAAGTCGTGGAACGGAAAAGAGGTCAGCGAAGTCGTCGAACGATCAACGCAACGTTCATCAACTGGGGATTGAAACGTTCTTGCAAAATAGTATACATGAAGTCGCGAACGCGCACAAATCTGGTGGAAATGAGGATCAAGTACGACGGCCGACATCAGTGAACCCGAAGGCCAGTGCTCAAGTGACCTACAGTGTACGGGACATCCGCTCAACAGTGCGGCGTCTGGACAAGGTTTTCCACGAAGTAGCTTCAGGCGACAAGCAGCGCCATCTAGCCGCTACAAAGATATCAATGATGTGTCGAGGGTTTGTAGTCCGCCGTAGATACCAGAAATTGCAGATAGCTCTAGGAGGATGGCGATCTCGAAAGTGCGTCCCCTTTCTGACGTCCATTGAGGAATTTGCAGCACGCGAAGAGTTTGTCAACAAGCAGATTACAATCATGCAAGAAGAGCGAACTCGGTCTTTCTTGCGTCGTGTGTTGGCTGAAATACGTGATGTAGTACTCATGAACTTGCCAGTGAAGATGGCTCGGCTCGAAGAAACGGAGCATCGTTTTCGGGAAAGACAACGCAATTTATTGAAATACGTTTTCCTACCGTGGAAATCAGCAGCTTTAGGACCTCGAAGCCGAAAAAGAGCTTCAGCGGATGCCAGAGCACGCCATTATGCAGCCCGACAACGACTTGAAGCCATGGAACGATTCGATCTGATCACCCAGGAAATGGTGCATGAAGAGTTTCTCAAAGACAACATCCGTCGAATTCGTACTCGACATCCAATGCACGTACTCAAGCGATTCTTCCACTTGATGAAGGGCATAGTATTCGTCCCAATGAAGAAGAACATGGAAGTCGCGATTGCCCACGATTATCGGAAAACCCTCAAGCGTGTCATGGACGAATGGGTAAAGGTCTTTCGAGCGACACAAATCGATAAAGCCATCGCAAGCGCCGTTGAGCAGCGCACTCTTGAGCGGTATGATCAGCACTTTAATCTTCGAAAGATCGATGCTCACTATCGACGAACACACATGCTCAAGCATCTACGTGCGTGGTTAAAGCATTGTCAGCTTATTCGTAGAGTTCGACGGCTCTTTGAGGGGAGCACGAAGGAAACATTGGCTTGGCTCACGAAGCGCTGGCGTGTTCGAGCTCAATATCAACACGCTTTACGCGAAAATGCCGTGGAGGAATGGCACGCGTATTCACGGCGCATTTATACGATTCCGTTTCGACGTTGGTACGTTTTCATGGCTCGCAGACGCGCAGCACGCGCGGCAAAGGAGAGTATTTGTGTTGCTTACGAGCGGCGTCAACGACGCCATATCAAGTACAATTTCTTCCGGTTGTGGAAGCACCAAGTGCTATTTGGCCACATTGAAGGTCTGCATTCAAAGGTTCACTTACTACGTAGTCTTGAGGATCAGAAGCGCATGTGTCTTGGATTAGAAGCCAATGCAGCGCTTTACAGGGATAATATCGCAGCTTTACAGGCTTCAATCGTGCAATTAGAGGACAAACTCAAGGAAAAGCAGCAAGAGCTCGCTCAATTGCACGAGACGACGCAAGCTACACGGTTTGGTATCCACCAGGCAGAACAGAGTATTGCTCGAGTGCAGGGCATGCTGGAAGCCGTGAGAGTTGTTCATCCTGGTACAGTGGAGCGCATCGAGACGATGTACAGGGACAACCCGCTGCTCTCGAAAGACCTTAAGGACGTCATCACTCTTCACGCCAACAAGAGACGAGAACTTTTATCGAAAATTGAGTTGGATCGAACGGAACTTGAGGTGCAGAATGCTTCAAAGGGGGCAGGAACCCAAGAAGACCAAATGCTGTTGCATAGAGTGAAGTGGGTGCTCTCTCGCTTAGATCTAGGTATGCATGAACAAAGCGGTAACAACCAACACGACACGAGAATGAACGGTAATCGCGTGGAAACTATGAACCAGCTCTGCGCTTTGTTCGAGTTCATCCGAAATGGAGACACTGCGCCGCTAGCACCGGCAAACAATCCAGAGCATAGCGAGCAAGTGCAATGCGGTAAACCAATAGGCTCCATGTTGCGTATTGGCAACTCCGACGATGGTATCGTTCGTCGTGTCGATATCATGGACGACTCCAACTCGTGGCATTCGTTCTTGCAGTCGTTGGTGATCAAGTTCGTGCCAGATAATTTATTGTCGGTCAAGGAGCGTCTTGTGCGTCGTGCAGCTGAAATGGATGCCGAAATCGCTGAGATCAAAGCTAACCCACAACTCCATCATCTGTACAGGTAGGCAGCAAGTTTCAAAGACTTCAACAAATACAGAGAGTATAGCACATGAACGGATTTCTCCTTAATGAACGAGCGAACGGAAGTCAAAGTGGGGGAAGCACCTGATTCCATCCACCTTTGTTCTATCTAGCCCTGCCGACATTTTACTGCCAACACACCAACCAGCTACTCAAGACCTTACCGTGACCTTATACCAAAACCGTCCTGCTGGCTGCCTTGCTTTGTCTGTCTCTGGAGTTTCGTCTTGTGTCGAGAAAGATTGACAAGATTACGTCGAGCTCTCTGTCTGCTTACTCGTTCTGGTGAATCTTGGCAGCCAGGAAGAGCTTCTGGAACGACTTTCCAGCGTAGCGGTTGATGTGCTCACAGTACGTGTTCATCTGCTTGGTAATGAGGAGCGACTCCAGACGCGAGGGTTGGTTCACCGACTTGAAAAAGTTAGGGTCCTCCTCGGGCACGGGCTCCTCGCCGTTCTCACGACGAACCTTGTTCTCCTCCCGCTGTCTATTTTGCCACTGCTGGTAGGCGGCGCGCTGCTTAGATAATGCGCGCTCGTAACCCTGGAATTTGTAGTGTTCCTGCGCGAGCTCGTCAGCCCACAGCGTCATGTTCTTGAGGCTACTCTCCACGTAAGCGTTAGTGGCCAAGTCCAGACGCTCAAAGCTGCTGGCGGTGGTGCTGTCATTGGCATGCGCCGTCTGCTGCAGCCAGCACGTGATGATGTCCGAGTTGCGGATCTCAATGGGGATTTCCTCCACTACAGTGGCCGAGCGGATGTCAGCCTTGGCGAAGCTCTCCTTAGTGAACGATCCGCTCTTGTACGTATCCATAAAAGCCTTGGTGAGACGCACAGCACGCAGACTGAGCGAGCCCTTGGAAGTCTCGGCCGAGTCGTAGATGAGGCAAATGGCGTTCGGACCCAGCGATTTCTGGTACTGGAACTGGTGCTCAATGAACGAGGCCGTGCAGAAAGTGCCCATGGCCACAGACTGGTACCAGCCCACCTTGTTGTTATCCATACCCACTTCACGCAGACTCTTCATCATGTCCAGCTGATACTCGTCCGCTCCCTTCTTACGTTCACTGCTGGGCGGAGACGGGAAGCTGTTGGTCACCTCCAGAACCTGTTCATTGTCCAAACCTAGAAGTGAGCCAGCCACGCCGCCGGGAAGGCTTTCATGGCAGTGCTTAATGATCTGAAGCAGAGCCACACCCTCAAGTGCCACACTCGTCACAGGCTCCACACCTTCGAAGATGTCAATGGCCTCAGTAGCCTCAGGGGCCGGTCCCAGAGCTGCAACAGTGGAAGAAGTAGCAGCGGGAGTGGAAGGTGCAGCAGCAGCAGCAGGCGTCCGCGCCGGCGTCGGCGTCGTGTCGAGACCCCAGGCCATGGTGTAAGGTGCTTCCGGTGACAATATGGATTTCCCCCTAGATGGACGACTGGCTGGGGTAAGTGAAACATGGTTTTGACCAATCATTTGTCAGTATTTTGAGATTTAAGCGAATCAAATGCCATCAATTGTTTTGTAGACGTTTAACTGGATGAAAAGGAAGTGATACAAAACGTTGCTTTTTTGGTTGGTGGAGACGCGCATCAACCAGCGCGGTTTGTTGACACAAGTCAAGCGTTCGTGAAGGAAGTCGCCGCCATGCCCAAGTCTAAGAGACAACGCACCAAGCCGCTGACGCAGGCCAACAAGAAGGGCAATGAGCTCAAGCAGAACGTGGTGGAAGCCATCCGTAATGCAGTGGACACGTACGATTCAGCCTACGTTTTCAGCTTCCAGAACATGCGTACCAACCACTTTAAGGAGGTGCGCATGGACTTCAAGGACAGCCGCTTCTTCCTGGGCAAGAACAAGGTCATGAAACTCGCTCTGGGTCGCTCGAAGGAGGAGGAATATGCCGAGAACCTCTACCGTCTTTCTAACGACGTTAGCGGCAACACTGGTCTGTTGTTCACCAGCAAGCCGCACGACGAGGTCATGGACTACTTTGCCAAGCTCTCGGTCAGTGACCACCCGCGTTCGGGCTTTGTAGCCACCGAGACGGTCACAATTCCCGAGGGCCCGCTGCCGCAGTTCATTGGCAGCATGCTCGAGTCGCTGCGCGGTCTGGGACTGCCTGTTGACCTCAAGAAGGGTGTCGTTGTGCTTAACCAGAACTACACCATCTGCAAGCCTGGACAGACACTGACCCCCGAACAGGCCAAGCTACTTGTGCACTTCGACCGTAAGATGGCTGAGTTTAAGCTCGTGATGCTCAGCGTCTGGTCGAAGGACAAGTACCACCGGCTTGCGGCCGAGGACGCCACCACTACTGGCAACGACGACACTGAAGATGAGGATATGTAAATATGGGATGTGGTCGCGAAGCTTTCAAACGATAGAGCGTAGCAGATGGAGCAGCGTCTTGCTGAGTTGTCTGGCATCTTCTTTAGTATACACTTTTTTTTGCATCTAATAGCATTTTGGATTGATTCGTTTGTGTTATCCGACTCAAATCAAAAGCGTAGTTGCATCCATTGCGACTTCTTACAGCTTGGTCAACTGGTCGTCGCTCTTGCCGTTACCATACTTCTCTACACTGTGTCGCATCTGCAAAATCACAGCCATCGGGTCTGCTGCCTTAAACACGGAGCTCCCAGCGACAATCATGTTGGCACCAGCTTTGGCTGCCGCATCAATAGTTGAGGGGCCTAGACCGCCATCCACCTCGATGTCCAACGTCGGGTACTTGGCACGGATAGCCTCTACCTTGGGCATCATGTCGGTCATGAAGCTCTGACCGCCGAAGCCTGGCTCCACGGTCATAACCAGCACCATGTCTACTAGCTCGACGAACGGGAAGGCGGCCTCGGCACTGGTGCCCGGCTTGATGGCTAGCCCCACCTTCATGCCGGCGTCGCGGATCTGCTTGATGAGGGCCAGCGGGTCCTGCGTCGCCTCCAGGTGGAAGGTGAACTGGTCACCTCCAGCGGCAGCGATGTCAGGCACCCACTGCTCGGGCTTAGACACCATCATGTGGCAGTCGAAGAAGGCCTTGGTATGAGGGCGCAGCGACTTGATGACGGGCGGGCCCCAAGAGATGTTGGGGACGAAGTGGCCGTCCATCACATCCAGGTGCAGGTAGTCCGCTCCGGCTGCTACTACCTTAAGAGACTCGTCCTTGAGGCACGAGAGGTCCGACGCCAGCAGCGAAGGGCCGATCTTGCATGTGCAGCTGTGGCACATCGAAGCAATGAAGGAGCGGGAGGTAGTGAAGTCGAAGCGACTGATGCGATTGAGACAATGAGGTCTCTGCTTTGATTGCCAGCGGAACATCATCAGGGCTATGCTAGTCGCGCAATGTGAATTTATTATATCTGTATGACTTTGTGGTTGTATTAAATCTGGTGTGTGTTTGTGTCAATACAAATGAAAAGTTTTAAATGTAGACTAAATATGTAATTTGAGTTTTGTCCAATCATTGGTACTATAAAGGTGCTGGACGAGCGGCTGCAATAGCTCAAGCCGACAAGCGATCGGATAAGTGGCGAGTCCTTCCCGAGCACGATGGCGTCTACCCAGCAGATTGCGGAGCTGAGCCGCAAGATTTTCCAGCGTCTACCGCAGCGCAACATCCCGTCGGGCAACAAGGTTATCAGCAAGCAGCTTAAGGGCGACAAGGTGGCCTCATGGTTCAACAAGCCGCTGCTACTGCGTCTCGGCGGCGACGACCCCAACTTTGAGATTCTGAACGAGGAGCGTCTGGGCAAGCTCGACCAGATGAAGCGACGGGGTAAGTCCATCCCCAAGAAGGGAGCAGGCAAGCGTTCGAAGAAGTAGGCGGGAGATGCATTTTGGCAGGTATTTCGTCTCAACAGCAGCACTGAAGCCATCGGACGCGCTATCCTATTGAATACTTGTGTCTCTGGATGGAGGTTCAGTACAGAGGATATATAACAGCGGCGATGCGGTCGTCGAGATAGTTATCTAATGCCAAGAGTGGTGTCCATCTTTATAGAGCATTTTTCAACGCGTCTTCCTTCACTGATGCTATTCATTATGTCGCTGTATGGCTAGTTTTCAGATTCAGGCTAGCACACAGATGTTGCCTATCGAGGTTGTACTGATACTGTGAGCTTGCCATCCTGTCGAGAACTCACCAAGGACGCTTGTCTCCGTGTATCTATTTCAGAGAGTGCACGGTATTCATTCTAACTCCAATTGTACCACTTGTGTACCGTTTTCGTGGTAGCCAATCGATTGACTCGACTTTAGACTGCACAGCGCATTCTTCAAAAGCAGCTTTAGGTACAGCAAGGACACCAAGGACATCTACAACAATGGGAGCCAACGGACAGGCAGTGCAGACGATGAACAAGAAGAAGGTGAAGCTTCTCAACAAGAAACGCGCCGAGATCCGCAACCAGAAGAAGGTGGCGGTGCTTCAGAAGGGCAAGCGCACAGTGCTGCGCAAACACCGGCCATCCAAGAAGAAGCAGCAGAAGGACGCCAAGCGCCATCGCATTTACGTGGAGGCCGAGAAGGCTAAG